GGAGCTTATGGTCTAGTGGGAGAAACAACAATATTCCTACAAACACAGGCAAAAAAATATATATGAAATAAAAACAACCAGGGTGGTGGTCACAGGAGTGAGAAATGCTTTGGATGAAGATAAAAGGATTCAATGTGACAACTGATTGGATGCAGAGCAAAGAGTCAAGGACGAGTCCGGCTCAGGGGGACTGGCAGGATGGTGGTACCTCAGCCACCAAGGGGAAGAAGAGAGGCTTAGGAGGTCAAAGGGCCCAGACGTTTCCCCCCGGGTCTGCCCCTCTTGTTCCCAGCTGCCTCTTCCCTTCGACGCTGAGGCTGATGGCGTCATTTTTTGATCTATACCACTCTAAAAACCCAGGCCCAGGATGGAGAAAATCCTGAGTGAGAAGCTGCAGGCGACAGATAAAGCAAACCAGATGGACCTTCTCTGAGTCTCCCCCCTTCAGAGGTCTTGGGCATAAATTGCCAAGGCCGGAGAAGGTTGTATGTCAGGAGGAAAACCTACTAAAGGTTTTAGAATAGCCTCAAGCTGAAATCTACCTTGTAAACACCGGGAATCCGGACCAGAAACCCGGTACAGGGGAAGAGCCCTGGGCTGGAATGATGATTATGATGATAATAATATACTATTTATAGGTTTACAGAGCACTTTGCAAATATTATCTTATTTGAGTTTCACAATAGCTCCAGGAGATAGGTATTGTTATATACCCATTTCACAGATGAGGAAACTGAGGCTGACAGCGGTTATAAGATTTGCCCAAGGTCACACATACAGCGTCTGAGGCTAGATTTGAACTCAGATCTTCCTGAATCCAAGTCCAGTGCTCCATTCATTGCACTACTTAGTTGCCTTTAAAAGTTAGGAGAGCCTGATTGACTTAGCTTTGGGGCCTTCTATAAGTCCCTTTCCTTCTCTGGGCTCCAGTCTTATCCCTTGTAAAATGACGGGTCAATAAGATGGTCTGCCCCTGAGTTCCCCTCCAGCTCCGGACATTCCAGGGGGTCTGGCTCTATGTACATGGTGGGGGTGGGGACCTGCCTTTCGAAAGGGCTTTTAGCCATCTTGGTCGTAGGTAACTGTCACCCCTGGTCATCTGACAATGGGGCTCCCCAACGATGCTCCTGCTGGGGGTCTTTGGATCATGAGTGGCCTTGCCCCAAGGAGGAAGATGATGCGGGGGGGGGGGGCAGGTGTGTCTGCAATCAGAGGGCAAGGGCTCCAAGCCTCACTCTACCTCCAACTTGGTGTAGGACTGTGGGCAAGTCCTTCCCACTCTCTCAGCCTCCTCTTCTCATCTGTAAAAGGTTAAGGCTGGATTCAATGACCTCTAAGGGTCCTTCCAATGCAGATGTGTGAGCCTGTGAGGAATAAGGAGCTGGTGCGGGGTAACAAGTGAATGCTTCAAAGGCCATTCTCCCAACAGTCCTCTAAGGTGAATAGGACAGGCATCTAATATTAGGCCCCTTTTACATATACATGTATGTGTGTGGTATGTGCACATATGTGTGTACATGCACACATACTACAGTTATCCCTTCCACATTGCAGGGGTGAAGGACACAGTGCCCCCTCTTATCTGGAAAGTTCCCATAAAATTTTTTTTGCCCTCCCTTCCAATCAGAGAATTGGTCTGAATTTTTTCTTTTTCTTTTATGGGATGTTTATAGTATCTTATTGCAAAATTTGGATTAAGCATTCAGTCATAGTGTTATCTGCTGGCCTCATGATGTGGAAGGGATAACCATGTATATGTGTGCATATGCATGTACTGTATATATGTGCATGTGTGTGTTGGGTATATGTGCATGTATACACACATGCTACATTTTGTAGGTGTGTATGTATGTATGTATACATATAGTACTTGCATGTATATCTATGTGTATTGTATATATATGTGTGTGTATATTATATGTACATGTGTATGCATATCTGCATTGTGTGTCTATATAGGTACCTATGTGTATATATGTATACACATGTTATATTTTATATGTGTGTATGTGCAATACATGTGTATGTTATATATGTTTGTGTATATATGGTGTGTGTGCCTGATATGGGTATGTATGCACATGGAGGGAAACTGAGAGCCGTGCAGAACATTCTGGGAGTGAGGGAAGGTGCACCAAGCTGGAGAAAAAATCCAAGGATCTGGGTTCCAGTGCCATCACAGCTGTTACCAACCAGGTGACTTCACTTCCCTGCCCCTCTATCTTCTTGCTCTCTTTCCTAAGCCTTTTCCAGCTTCAGCCAGGCAGCTCTTTACTTGAGAACAGAAGTCATCCCAAATGCCCCCTTAGGTCGATAGAATAGCTTCGCTTCAGCGTGCTCTGCCACCTTTCTGAGTACTTTCTCTTTCATCTCCACACTATTGGCACCCTGGAGATTGTCCGGCACTTATCAGGTACCCAGTGAATCTTAGAAGCCGATGGGCAGGATGACACTGCCTCACATCAGTAATGACAGGCGTTATTTCTGCCATGTCCTACTGGAAAGCAGGATGCTCTTCAAGGGGTCTTCTTGACCTTGTGTGTGTCCTGCCACACTGTCTGGCAGTCTGGCAAAATCTAGGCAGCCCTCCTCAGAGTGACATCTATTTCCTAATTGGAGGAAATGTTAAAATTCAGTTAGAGATGAGTGAAATTAAAGATATAATTTCTTTCTCATCCAAGTTCACAGACCCCCCTCCGAAATCTAGCTATAACCGCCTTTGGGGTTGGACTCCAGGTTTTGAGCCCCAAGAAGCCCTTAAAGCTCCATGTCTAAGCTTTTAGGGAGAAATCAATCAACCAACAAGAATTTATTAATCACCTATTATCTGTCAGGCACTGTGCTAGATCCTAGGGTTACTGAGACAAAAAAAAAGAAACAGTCCCTGCTCTCAAAAAGCTTAAATTATATTGTACATAAATACGTACAGAATGAACACACACACAAATAAGGTAGTTAGGGAGGGAGGGCACTAGCAGCTGAGGGAAGGTAGGGGGAGGGTCAGGAAAGGCTTCATGTAGAAGGTGGCACCAAGCCAGAGTTTGAGGGAAATGAGATTCTAAGATGCCCAGGTGAGCAGGGAGGGCAGAGAGATTGATTTTGATCCCAGAGACCATAAGGAGTCATTAGAGGGTTTGGGTATTACTAAGGCCTGAGATTTTTTTTTCCTACCCTTTCAGTCTCTTCCCCTCCTTCAGATACTTTGCAAATTAACCCCTCAGCAAACTCAGCAGGTGTCTCTGTCAGCACAGATCGCCTCCACATGTACTTCGTCCAATTTGGGAGCTTTCATCTTCATTCTCTTTAGCATCACGTAAATGAAAAGCTCACTAAAAGAAAAGAGAATATTCAATAACAGAAAAAACCAATAGTGGAAGGCTTTGAGGCCAGAGTGTTGCATACTTTGTCAGCCCCGGTCACCTTCAGTGCAGGAACTGCCTTTTGCTTCTTTTTATATCCTACCGTGTGCCAGGCACATAGTAGGCACTTAATAAATGTTTGCTGACTGTCTTTATTTGGCATTTTTGCTTAACTTTTTCTTTCTTATGAGAGAGGGTTCACTAGGAAGGTGAGAGAATGAGAGAAGAGATGGTAATATTTCCCAGCTAGCTGTGATGTAAAAACAAAATGCATTAGCAAAACTTGTTTTAATAAATAATCATTGGGACTAAGCTGGAGAGCAGAATCACCCTGAGGGTCTGGTGGGGAGTAGAAGTGAAGACAACACCAGGGTTATGGGCAAATTAAAGATTGTGCTTTGGTCAGGGAAGGAGGGCAGGGGAAGAGAAGAGGTCTTGCTCCCACACAGGCAAGTTGGTGTTGTGAATTTACTGATGAAAAAGGAAGGAAGGAAGGAAGGAAGGAAGGAAGGAAGGAAGGAAGGAAGGAAGGAAGGAAGGAAGGAAGGAAGGAAGGAAGGAAGGAAGGAAGGAAGGAAGGAAGGAAGGAAGGAAAGGAGGGAGGGAGAAAGGGAGGGAAAAAGGGAGGGAGGGAAGATTTCTTAAATGTTTACTGTGTGTCAGGCACTATGCTAAGTGCTAGGGATACAGATAGAAAAACAAGCCCATCCCTGTCCTCAAGAAGCTCACCCTTCCAACGAGGGAGCACACGTAAAGTTTCAACTGCCAGTCTTCTAAGGGATGATGACTGTTAGGACTGCCCTTCGTGTGTATGGCTGGAGTCAGATCTTGGGAGAAAGGGCCTCCTTCTCTTTACACTGCAAAGCTGAAGTCAGGCCCCAAATTAGCACAAGACCAGAGGTGTGAAGGGGAAGTGAGGTTGCTCAGCTCTGCATTTTTGAGCCCAGGGAGTGAATGGCAGCCAGACCTGGAGCTTGTGTCCACCTTCCTTTCCCTTCAGTACTCCATGAGATTCCCTAGCTACCTGGGAAATGGATGCACCTGCACCAGATTGGGAGGTGGGGCAGGGCGGGGCCTAGATCTCCCTGGGACTGACTCCCTCCTCCTTCTCTGCCAAGAGGCTGAGAATGTTAGAACTGGCAGGCACCTCTCTTCTCTGGTTCCTTCCCCTCTTCCTTCACTTCTACCCTCCTCTCCCCTTCACTCCTTGTATCTCCCTATCTGCTTCACTCACTCCTCTCTTTTCATCTTCGTCTCTTCCCCTTCCCCCCGCCTTCTCTTCTCTTCCCTGGCCTCTATCCACTACTCCTACCCTTTTCCCTCTCGCCGCCTCCTTCTCTCTCCTCCTTTTTTCTCCCCTTCCCCTCCACTCCTCCCCCCTTCTCTCTCATCTTTCCTCCCTTCCTCTCTCTCGATTTTCCTTTTCCTCCTCTTCCTTTCCCTCCCCTCCTCCTCTTGCCTTGGCCCCTTTCTATCCCTCCACGATCCAGCTTTAACCCTTGCGGCGCCGAGGACTGGAGGCGTCGTGGGCTGCCGGAGCCTCTAGAGATCCGGCTGGGGAGGGCCAGGCTGGGGCGGGGCTAGGCGGGGCGCGCAGGGCTGCAGGCTCTGAGGGGAGGGCTGAGGGAGCTGAGCCCTGGCGGGGAGGACAGCAGGTGCAGACAAACAGACAGACGGACGGACGGGGCCATGGACACGGGCTGCGCGGGGCTCGGCTGCCTTCTGGTTGGCCTGGCTTTCCTGCTCACAGGTGGGTGAGTCTCGGACCCCGGGGCGCTTCCCCTGCCTCCCCTGCCCAGCCTGTCCAACCCAGGGCTTAGGGGGGCAGGAGTGTGGGGGGGAGGAACCTAGGGGGAGAACTGGGGCACGGGGATAGAGAAAGGTCCAGAAGAACCTAATCTCGGCCGCCCGAAGAGAAGGCAGGACTTTTAGTTAGGTGGGGGGACCTGGGCTGCTTCAATCCATCACAGCTTCAGCCAGCTCCAGGTGCTGGTTTTCTTTATAGGCGTCGGGCATTAGTGAGAAGCCCAGAAGCCCAAGGCGGCTAGGGACTTCCAAAACCACCCCTCTGCTACCTGTCTACTTCAGCCTTCAAGTAATGGGACAATTCTGATCTTACCAGACAGCCCGTTCTGTTCTGGAGGGTGCTGAATCGCTAGGAAGTTTTCACCTTACCAGAACCTACATCCGCCCCTCCGCTGCTTCTGCCCCATCTTGTTCCCAGTTCGGCCCTTAGGGGTCTCAAGAAAAAACAAAGCAAAACAAAATACCTGACCACTCTTTATTGGGACACCTCTTCCAGTACTTGAGGATTAGTCAAAACTGATCCATGCCTGGAAGACTCTGCTGCCCCCCCCCCAGCATCGACCTCTCAGGTGCAGCCACCTCTTGTAGGAGGCTTGTCCTGGTTCCCTCCCTCCTCTCCCGGCAGCCAGCGCCTTCCATTTACTCTGTATGTGGCTTGTATGTACATAGTTATCTGCATATTGTTTCCCCCATTAAAATGCAAGATGGCTCACTTTGCCTTTCTTTATACGCCCAGGGCTCAGCGCTGAGCCTAGGACAGAGCAGATACTTAACTGTGCTTGCTGACTGACTTTGTGTCCGGACAGTCCCCACAAGGACCTAATTTGCCAAATTGAAATGTTGGTGATAGTAGGTCTGCACAAGGGGGCGGGGGAGGGGAGGCTGGGTGAAGAGAGAGAGAAATAGAGAGAGAGAGAGAGAGAGAGAGAGAGAGAGAGAGAGAGAGAGAGAGAGAGAGAAACAGAGCCAGAGAGAGCGGCAGGGACAGAGAGAGATGACCAAATGGCTCTTGTCCTTCCTGCCCCCTTGGTGACTGGTGGTGGAGACAGCCTTCTCTTGGCCAACCTGTTCGTATCCTCTTCTCCAGGCCCTGACCTTTTGTAGGATCAGGACCAGGGACAGATCACCAGCTGAATGAGGGAATCCATTGGAAAATAGGTGCCCCCAAGGGTGTGTCTTGGGCCATCTTCTGTTTTGTTGTTCCTTCCCTAAGTGATCTCATTTACTTCCTTGGTCACAGTCACCATTTCTGTGTAGGTACCTCCCAAATCATCATCCTCACCACAGAGTCCTGGCCTGTATTTCCAGCTGCCCACCAGACATTTCTGCTTGAATGTCTGGCTGGTAGCTCAAATTCAATATACAGTGTGTGCATCTGCACTCATCTTCTCTCCAAAACCTTATACTCCCCTCTATTTTCTCTTTTTTCCCCATTTCTCCATCCTTTCTGTAACCTAGGCTCAAAATATTGGGTCCTTTTTGATTCTTTGCTATCCTCACCCCTCACATCCAATCTGTGCTCATTTCTGTTGACTCTGTTATTTCTACTTCCATACACTACCACCCTAGCTCGGGCCCCATTCCCACTTGCCTGGACTACTGTAACCTCCTCACTGGTCTTCCTGCATCCAGTTTTGTCCCCCTCTAATCTATCCTTCACATGGCTGCCAAAGTAATCTTCCTAATGTATAGGTCTGACCAAATCATTCCTCTGCTCAAAAGTCTATCATGCCTTCTCACTGTCCAATGAATAAACATAAACTCATGGTCCTGGTGCTGAAAGCCCCCCACAACCTGGCTCCCACCTTCTTTCCCACGTACATCTCAGGACTTAATATTGCCTAGCTTGACTATTCTCTCTTCTCTTGCTGGCCTCTCCCTATCTCTGTGCCTTTTCTCATACAGTTCCCTAGACCTGGAATGCACTTTCTTCCCAAGATCCTGCATCTCCATTTGTCAAAGCCTTCTCCTTCCTTCAGATCCAGCTTGGGCTGCCTTCCTCCATCCTTAAAACTTCCCCTGTCCTGACATCTTAAAGCTCTATGGAAACCTGAGTTGATTCTAGATTATTATCACCATTCTCAGTCCCCAAACCCATCCCTATCCCCAGTGAAACTATATCCCCAGCCCCAAACCCATGGCTGTGCATCAATATATCAAGACCTTGTGATCCATGAATGTGGCAATCATACAGCATCATACAGAAAAAAGCATGTGGACTCTGTAATCAGAAGCACTGGGTTCAAATTCTGGCTCCACCTCTTCTTTCTGTGTGACTTGAGGCAAATTGCTTGATTTCTCTGGCACTCAGTTTCCTCCTCTGTAAAATGAGAGGGTTAGACCAGGGCCTCTAAGGTCCAATAAATGGTCCCTCCACCAAGACAGATTGCAACTCATCTATAACATAGTCTTCCAGAATTGCCTGTGGCTTCAAAAGAGGTAAATGGTTTATTCATGGTCACATAGCTAAGAAGTCCAGATGCAGGATTGGAACCCAGGTCTTTTCAACTCAAACTCCAGCACTCTATCTACTATCCACACTGCCTCTCTTACTCACAGCTCACATTTAATAAATTTTTGTTCAGTTGAATGCAATGTTATTGATAAAGATCCTAAAGGATTTGGACACACAGAATTAAAATTTTTAGAGCTGGAAGGGACACTAAGAGACTATCTAACCCAATCTCCTCATTTTACAGATAGGGAAATTGAGGCTTAGAGAGATTAAGGGATTTTCCTGGGTCACACAGAAAATTTGTGACAGAATTAAAATTGGAATCAGATCTGTTGAATCCTAGCCTTATATCCTTTGCCTTTAACCATTGGAATAGTTTATGAATAACAATTACTATTATCATTTTTATTAGGAAATCACTTTATACATTTCCAAGAACACTTGCCTCCCTTCCAGCTCTATCTGTGCTTTTTACGTGATTCATAAAAAGACCATAAATCTCAGTGTTTTGGCTACCTGCAGAGAAGATAAATGGGTAAGTGGCCAGTAACTGTATTGCAAACGAACAAAATACAGGCATATCTTCATGGAACTTCAGAGCCCGCAGAAGGAATAGTAGAGATCAGCTGATCCAACTCTTGACTGAATAGGAAGTCTCTTTCTCACTTCCCTGAAAAGTGGCCATCTAGTATCTGCTGCAAGACCTCCAATGAGGTGAGACCTTGCTCCCTTCCAAGGCAGCCAATTCCACTTTGGGATAACTCTTGTTATTAAGAAGTTTTTCCTTACAACAAATTTATATCACATAGTCTTTGTAATAACATCCATTGCTCCCTGATCTAGCCTCAGGGGCCAAGAAGAAGAAAGTGAATTCCTCTTCTGTCTGGCAATCCTCCAAGTACTTGAAGAGAGTATCACCCCCCTACTAAGTCCTTTCCAGTTCTTTATATGCCATGGTTCCCAGTGCCTTTACCACCCCAGCTTGGTCCTCTTCCAGAAGGGAGGACAAACAACAACCATTCCTGTTGCCCTCCTTTCAGAACATCTTACAGCCTTTCTAAAAAGTCGTATCCAGAACTGAACATGGGCATTTCAGGTGTTGTCTGACTATGGTGGTGCACCTCCTCCATTATGGACACTAAATCCCATTAGTCTGCACATAGTTGTATGTGTTGTGCTGTTGACTCATACTGAATTCTTGTTGTTATTGTTCGGTCATTTTCAGTCATGTCTGACTCTTCATGACCCCAGTTAGTGTTTTCTTGGCAAAGATACTGGAGTGGCCTGTCATTTCCTTCTCCAGCTCATTTTACAGATGAGGAAACTGAGGCAAACAGGGTTAAGTGGCTTGTCTGGAGTCATCCAGCTTTTAAGTGTCTGAGGCTGTATTTGAACTCAGAAAGATGAGGCGTCTTCACTGCAGGCCCGGTGCTCTGTGCTCTATGGTGCCTTCTAGCGACCCTATATTGAGCTTGCAGTCCACTAAAAACTCCCAGATCCTCTTCATGTAAACAGCTGATTAGTTCTGTCTCCCCTCTTCAGTACTTGAGAAGCTGATGTTCTTGAACCCAAATGGGAAAATGTCATGCCTAGAATGTTCTTCTCCACAGGGGCTGGCAGCTCTGATGCAGAGCATCGCCTATTTGACCGGCTGTTTGAGGGCTATAATGAGATCATCCGACCAGTGGCCAATGTGTCTGATCCAGTCATCATCCATTTTGAGGTGTCCATGTCCCAACTGGTAAAAGTGGTGAGTCCTGGGGAGTGACTTAATTTCTAAAAGGGAGGGATGAGGGCAAGAGCTTTCCATCATCAGTACAAATCCAGTATTTTTTCTTCCTCTTTTTTTTTTTAATCACTTGACTAGGATGAAGTTAACCAGATTATGGAAACCAACCTCTGGCTGAAACATGTAAGTTACCAATCAGTCAGTGCATGAACTTTACCAGGCACCTTCTACAGGTCCAGCCCTGTCCTAGGCAGAGAAAAAAAGAGAGCCACCCTTAAGGGTCCCATCTTATATAAGGGGAAAGGATAAGACACACGGTGAAATAAGGTGCTAAATAAACTATGGGCAATTGAACCATAACAGTCCCTGATTTCAAGGAGCTCACAGTCTAATGGGGAAACGACACACAGACAACTTAATACAAACAAGATCTATAGAAGATAAATCGGAGATCATCCATGGAGAGAAGGCACTTGCATTAAGAGGGATATCTCCAGTAAGTGGGAAGAACTGACATTCTACTTGGAGTCTGCTGTCATGGTTAGGAAGCTCTTCCTTAGCCTCAACCAAAATCCACTGTTTGGAATGTTTGGTTAGAAAAGGGAGGGATAGGTGTGGGCTAGAGTAATTAAGGAGGGCTTGCAGGAGAAGTGGAAACTGGAGTAGGTTCTAAAGGGTTTTCCAGACATAAAGAAAGAGAAGAGGAAATAACCTTCCAGGGAATGTGACCAGAATTAATGAAGCTCTGTCAAAACAGGAAATGAATGTAGAAATTAGGGGGTAGACCACAGGAGGTAGTGGAAAATAAGCATAATGAGGCGATAAGTGTTTCTTTGTGGTTTGTGAATCAAAAAGTTAATCAAGAAACATTTTTAAAGCACCTACTCTGTGCTAGGCACTTACGGGGCTTTTGGCTTGTGAATCATCAATCAATCAACATGCGTATATTAACACCCCCACCATGTGCATGTAGCTAGGTACAGGTCAGTGCTTACTGGGGTGAACTTATTGGTCTCTGGGACACTCAATCGTCTCTTGCCTCTGTAATCCACCAGAGGTTACCTGCCTTCAGCTTACGTCAGCAATGGTAGAGGAAAGGTCAGGAAATGATGTAATCTGAATGGCCAGTAGAGTCCATAGGCAATAGCTCAACTTTGTGTGTATTCAAAAAACATTTAATAAATATCTAGTACATTGATGATCTTGTGGAGATGATACCAGAAGAATGACATAGTTCCTACCTTCTTGGAGCTTGTAGTGGGGTGGAAGTGTGGAGATTCTATAGTTTGTGTTGCTGCCTAAATCTGTCTGAGACAATTTATGAACAGAAAAGATTCTTGCATAAAGAGAGGTCCAGAAAGACAGGTTCTCTGGCTAACTGAAATTCTCTCTGACCTAGCAATGTCCACTTACATTTTGTAGTCACCCAGTGCTTTGCACAGTGCCTGGTCAACAGTAGGCATTTTAATAAAACCTTGTTGGCTTGACTTGATTAATCCTAAGTCAAAAGACAAAATTCTCCAGCAAACTCGGACGAAGGTGTGTAGTTTAAGCTCAGGGGTTTCTGAGTTATGTTGATATTAATGCACCCTGGAAGAAAATAGCTCCTTCTTGACTGCATTTTCAACAGGGTCCAAGTTGCACAAAGAGAGATTTCTCTTAATTGAATTAAATGAAAACATTTCCAATTCTTAGTCACCATGACCAAGAATAAGCCTCTTAGTTTCCAGATCAGGCTCCATCCCTATAATTGATTAAAGGCCTTCTATTCAAGGAAGACAGGTTGAGTCTTTGATTCCAGTCCAAGGACTTCAGACTAGGGCATCAACATAATATTGTCTCAATGTTTTACAACCAGATGAGGTCTCAGTACTCTGTGCATCCATATAGCCTGGCCATGGGGATTAGACATGACAAAAATAGGTATAAGATGATGCACGATGTGATAGATGTTCTAAGAGAGGTGCCAGTTGGCATTCCATAAAGGGAGAAAACATTTCCAAATGAACAGATCAGGGAAGACTTCCTGGAGAAAGAAGCATTTGAGCTAAGCCTTTAAGATGGGGTAGGTATTCAAATTAGGGTGAGGGGGTGCAGAAGGCCATTCCAGATGGAGGGAATAACAAAAGATGGGAACCATGACTATAAGTAAGGAGATCCAAAGGACACTTGAATTTAAATACCTTGTGCTTTCCTACCTCGGTGTTTTTGTCCATGAAGTTGCTAGGCTTGGAATGCCCTCCGTTCCTTTGCGTATTAAAAATTAACCACCCCTCTCATCCTTTAAAGCCCAACCTTCCTCCAGGAAGGTTTCCCTGATCCTTTCCACTTTCACCTCCAGCCATAAATAGCAGTCTGTACTGTCCTTCTCAAATGTGTATATATTTTACTAATTTCCTAGAATGTAGGCTCCCTGAGGGCAGGGATTTTGCCGGATATAAATGTCATATCTTCCTCAGCAGCGAATGCAGTGTACTGCACACAGTAGGAATAGGGAGAGGAACTATACCTGTGGTTTCCATGGTCTAGAGAACCCCTTGGTGAGAAACTCCAGCACCTTCAGTTTTAGGCTGTTACCTAGAGCACTGAGAAGTTAGGAGACCTTACCCACAGTCAGGACTTCATCAGAGGCAGATCTTCTTAGCCCTATCCACTGTCCCACACTACCTCTCACGGCACAAGGTACACAGTGAGCATTTATTAAATCAATCAGCCAACCACAATTCATCAAGTGTTTACTGCGTGCCAGGTAGCCACTGGGCTAAGGAAGCACTGGGGATACAAAGGAAGAGGAAAACCCAATCCCTGACCTCAAGGGGCTTCCATTCTAAAGAATGTTGACTTTGCACTTCCTTTGTCTGGGAGAGAAGGGGAAGCGATGGCATTTTACACTAAGGTGCTTCACATACTCCAGCTACACAGATGTTCAGAAACACTTGTTTTTGCGTAGAAACAAGACATTTAGGAAGAATGTTTTGACGTCGTGGGCTGGGCATTGATCTTTGCTTGGTCAATGCTGACACCTGGTGGTGATGTCTTGGTTTGCTTCAGGGGTACAGATTCTACAACTCTCATGTTTACGGATTTAGGGATGCCCTGATTTACACCATTGATGTGATCCTATAAAAGTTCAGAGGGGCATGGGCTTCAATTGTTAGGAAACCGAGTCATCGCCTCTTAATTTCTGATTTTTAAAAGGTTTAATTGAAGCTTTTAAAAAATGTCACTCTCTTCCCTCCTCCCTTTCTTTCCTAATCATCAATAGAATTCATTTTTTTAATTTTAAAAAAAACAGCACAGTGTTGTATGTATCAGCTCACAGTGCAAGTCAGCCCGTTGGCTCTGTCTGACAATGCACACCTCACTTAGCACCTCTAGTCCAACGCCATGCTGAGATGTGGCAGGTGTGTTTCACGGTGGGGTCTCTGAATTCATGGTCACTGCACTGATTAGAGTTCTGCGTTCTTTCCAGGATGTCTTCCTTTACATTTCCATTACATATGCAAATTGTGTTATCAGACAAATTCCTAGAGCTGGAAAAGACCTCTGAGGCCACTGGGTCCTACCCCCTTATTTTTACTAATGAGGAAACTGAGTCCCAGAGAAAGAGTATGACTTGTTTCAGGTGGCACAGGTCATAATCATCATGGGAAAGGTCTGAACCTGGTCTTCCAGCTTCTTCCTGCTTACTTAATTCTGCATCAGTTCAGAGAAATCTTCCCAAGTTTGTCTGAATTCTTCATTTCAACTGTCCTTTCCCATTGACTCATATCATGCTGGGGTTGCATCCCCATCCAGGTAGAGGAAGATCAGGAGATCAGGTTCCACCCCGACTCAGCCTCTCATCAACTCCATGACCTTGGGCAAGTCACTTCCTTCTTTTGGACTTCAGTTTCTTCTTCTGAAAAATGAGTAGATTGTACCAAATGATCTATGAAGCCCCTTCCAGCTCTGAAATCTTATGACTAAATGTCTATGTATTCTTCCTGATGTTTCTGGCTTATGAGCCAATAAAGCAGTATACCAGGAAGGCCTGATGTTTTAAAGGCAGGCTGAACAAATCTTTCTATAATGTGACTTCATGCCCCAACTTCTCTTTCCTGTACATTCAGCTTTCATACACCGGGGAGGGTTATAGCAAGGCTGGGAGGGACTTGAAGGCTTCTAGGCTAAATCCCTTACTTTAAAATGATAGGGCTAGGGCAGCTAGGTGGCACAGTGGAGAGAGCACTGGCCCTGGATTCAGGAGGACCTGAGTTCAAATCTGACCTCAGATACATAACACTTACTAGCTGTGTGACCTTGGGCAAGTCACTTAACCCCATTGCCTAACCAAAAAATAAATAAAGATAAACTGATAGGGGAAGTAACCTGACCAAAGTCATGTAGGGTGGTATGCATTAGAAGGTTTTGAACCCAGGGCCTAAAGCTCCAGTGCTAAGGCTCTTTCCACATTACCACCCTGAAGCTTGGAAAGGAGGCCTCTGAGGCATCACCTCCTGCCTGGACTCTTTCAATAGCCAGCCTCCAGTCTCTCTACTCCAGCTGTAAACATCGTCTTCCTAAAGGGCAGGTCTGACCACATCCACCCCACCCCCTCCTGGTTACAATAAACTCCAGGGGCTCCCAATCACCTCTTGGTGTCCAATACCATTCAGAACCTCCCCTTCTCCTTTCCAATCTTCTTATACTGTCCCCCATGCCTGGAATTTCCTCCCTCATCTCTGCCTCCTGACTTCTCTGGCTTCAGGTCCCAGCTAAAACCCCATCTTCTCTGGGAAGCCTTTGCCACCCTCCCCCCCATTATTTCCTATTTATCCTCTACAGAGTTTGGACACATTTGTTTGCAGGTGTGGGCAGGGACTATCTTTTTCATTTCTTTGTATCCCCAGCTCTTAGAATAGTGCCAGGCACATAGTAGGTGCTTAATAAATGCTTGCTGATTGATAGATGGCTCAACGTTGGCTATTTTATCAAAAGCTCAGGAGAGGAGGCAGCAGTGGTGTGGTGTGGAGGAGAGAACACTCGGTGAGATGGAAGTGAGGAAGGAATGAAGTCCAGGCATGGCGGCGCCCAATATATAGGCATCAAGTTGGGAAACCTGAGTTCTAGTGCTGGCTCTGTCACTAACTCAGTGTGCAGTGAATTATGGGAGGCTCCCTCCCCTTTTCAGGGCCTCTGCTTCCTCATCTGTCATTTGGAGGAATTAGCCCTGATCATCTCAAAGGTTCCTTCTACTTGTATCCTTCTGGGTTCCACATTGGAAGGTCTCGTCTGCCTCCGACCTTCTCAGCCTTTCCACTACCGTCTTTCTGCTTTCATTGTTCTCAAGGCCCTTCAAACTTGGACATTCTGTGGTCACATTCTAAAAGTCCTTCTAGGCAGGAGATTCTATCTTCTAAGAGTGCCTTCTATGTTCTATGATCAGGATTAGGGAGCCCACCTTTGGCCTTCTTACTCATGAAGCATGAAAGGGACAGTGCTAGAATGGATCATTATAGAAATGCCTGAATGTCTTCTAGCAAAGGAAATGGTGATTAACAAGAATCAGCAGGTCTTCATCAAGAACAAGATATGTCAGTCAAACCTTATTTCCTTTTTTTATAGGGTTCCCAATCTGATAGATGATGGAAATATTGTAGATAAAGTTAATCCGAATTTTAGAGAACAAAGAAACAGAAACAAAAACAAAAACCTTGTTTAAAGCATGACCTGCCATGTTGTAGAGAAGATAGAGAGATGAGGAAAAGACAGAAATGTTTTGATCAAATAGCCAGATACAGAAGAAAAGTGGTTAATGGTTCAATGTAAACATGGCAGAAGGTCTCCAGTGGAGTGCCCCAGGGATCTATGCTTAGCCTGGTTTTTTTGTTTATTTGTTTTGTTTCCTTTTTTATCATTGACTTGGACAAAAACCCAGGCGGCATGTTGATCAGATGGGCAGGTGGCCCAAAGCTGGGAGGGATAACTAGCCTGCTAGACAACAGAATCAGGATGCCAAAAGGTCTTGCCAGTCTAGAGCACTGGACTGAATCCAATAAGATGAAATCAATAAATGTCACCTTACATTTGGGTATGAAACCATCAACCACACAAGTGGAAGATAAGGGAAGCAGACTTAGACAAAGTTGTTCCAAAAAAGATTTAGGAGTTTTGGTAGACTGCAGGTTTGATGGGAGTCAGCAGTGTGGTGGGGCAGCCCCCCCAAAGAGCTCATGCAATCTTGGACTTTGTTCAAAGGGGCAGAGCTTCCAGGATGAGGGAAGTGTTGACACCATCATCCTCTGCCCTCATTATACCTCAATTCTGTATGCCATGCTTTAAAAGGACGTTAATAAAGTGGTGAGTTTCCAGAAGAGGCCAGCAGGGATGGTGAAGGGGTGCAGGCGGTGAAAGTAGGTTCTGATCCTGGGATCTACGGATTTGTTTTGGAAAAAATATTTTCATAACTATTTCCCTGTAACAGGTTTCCTTCCTCTCTGTTGCATTTTATCAACTTTGGAATGTTATTCTGAGAAGGATCCATAGACTTCAGCAGATGGCCCTCAGGGTCCGTGACACAAAAAACAGTTAAGAGCCCTTGGGTCAAAGGAAGCTTTATGGGGAGAGTTAGCCCAGGGAAGAAGGGGAATCCGGCAGCTCCATCAAGTCTGTGTCATATGGAGGAGGGGTCTGATCAGTTCTCTTTGGCTGCCCGGGCAGAACCCAGCTGGACCAATGGGTGAAGACTGTAGATTCAGCCTTGATGTGAGGAAACACTCTGAGGACAGCTGTTGGGAAGGAGAATGGGCCACCTTGGGGGTGGGGTGGGGAACATTCTCCCCCCTTGGAGGTCTTTGAGCCGAGGCTGGATGACCACTTGTCAGGGATGTTATGGGTGAGATTTTTTTCTGTGTATGGATTTAACTAAGTGGCCACTGCAGTCCCTCCCATCTCACAAATTCCATAGTTCTATGAAAGGCACCCAGTAGGACTCTTAATCCAGGTACTTTCTCCCATTCGGTGTCAGTGAGTGAAAAGTCTCAGCCTGGAGCCTCTGTCAGTTTGCAGGGAGCAGGGCCTGATCTCCTTCCTGTTACCACAAAGATCTTTTAAAATAATAGCCGCACAGCCAGGAGACAGGGCGATTTATCCTTGTTAGATTCAGGCCAGTGACATCAGAGCCCGTATATACTCCCTCTGGGGAGGATACTGCCCAGAGCTGCTGTCAGACAAGAAATACTGACCTGACCTGCCAGTGACCCCTCTGTGCCAGGCCAGGGCCCAGCTGTCTCCGAGGTCTGCTAGGCTTTCTGCATTGCAAGGATTTCTCTGCCCTCAGAAGCTTGGAAAACCACCGGGCAGGTGTGCCCTTTGTCAACCTGACCCCAAGACACTCAGAGCCTAGGGTCCCACGGAGGCTGCTTTGGGCAGCTGTTTTCTTGAGGTGTTCTAGGCTCAAGGGGGCCGTCATAGCCCTCTCTTCCTAAATAAGAAGGCTCAGTCAACAAGCATTTATTAAGCACCTACTGTTTGCCAGCCACTCTGCTAGGTGCTACACAAATCCAAAGAAGGAAACAGTCCCTGTTCTCAAGGAGCTGACATTTTAATGGAGGAATAAGAAACAAATATGTAAGTACACACAAGACAAGTGTAATGAGTACAAATATATGCCAATTAGCTAAATACCAGGCCATTTGGGAGGGGGGACCAGGAAAGGCTTCATGAAGATGGTGCCTGAGCTGAGTCTTGAAGGGAAAGATGGAAGTGAGGAGGGAATACATTCCAAGTGTGCAAAGTCATGGAGGTAGGAGATGGGATAGAATCCAACAAAAGAGTCATGTGGGGATATTAGCAGCAACAGCAAAGGTGGGAGGGGAGGGGCCAGGATTACAGATGAGCTCAAGGCCAGGAAAATCCCTGCGGTATAGGAAGACCCTGAAAGAGCACAATTATTTTCATTGCCATCTCTCTCCCCTGTCTCAGATCTGGAATGACTACAAGCTTAAGTGGAATCCCGCTGACTACGATGGGGCTGAGTTCATGCGTGTGCCCTCTCAGAAAATATGGAAGCCTGACATCGTGCTATATAATAAGTAAGGGTGCTGGGGTCAGGGAGCATAGAGTTAGAATTGGGGGGTGGGCCTCAGAGGTCATCTAGGGCCCCCCTCATTTTACAGAGAAGGAAACTGAGACTCAGGTGACTTGGCAAAGGCAGGTTTTGAATCCAGGTCCTCTGACTCCAAATTCATCCTTGTTTCCACTGAGCTTCATCAGAAATTTGGGGGAAGCCACCCCATCGCAGCCTTTGAATCAGTCAGGCAACACGTCTTTGTATAGTGCCTTCTGCAAGGTCTGGCCTAACGTGGGTGATGAGCAGGCAGGTCCCTGCCTCCCCACCCAGGGGTCTTGGGCTCCTGCAGCTCCAAAGGGGACACATCACAGTTATCCCGACTCCCCTGGAAGGCCGTCCCACAGCTGAGAACACGGCTCCGCAGAGCATGAAAGCCGGGGTATAAGGAAGGGTCTCGGGACCTCGGAAGCCAGGAGGCTGCCTAGAATTCAGGTCAAGTGCTGGGTCTTCCACACATGCCTGGCCAAGTCATGCAGCCTTCCAGTGACCAGAGCCCTGGATTTGAATCCCAGCTCTCTCTCAACTCCCAGGCCAATGTTCTCAACACCACCCTAAACTTAAAAGCTGTGTGACCCCAGGTAGATCACTTAAACCCTCTGAGCCTTAGTGGGCTCACCTGTAAGATGGGGGTGAATAATACCAGCAGAGCCTACTTCACAGGCTTGTAGCAAGGTTCAAATGACACAGTGTATGTAAAAGAACTCTGCAGATTGTAAAGCTATTTTGGGCACATAGTAGGTGCCATATATATGCATATATTTGTAGAGGCATGTGCATTTGTGACTGGATATATCTACATATCTTTGCCTATGTGTATATTATGTATACTTGTGTATATACATATACTACCTATACCCAGACCTATATCTATAACTATATCTAGCCTCTCAGGTGCCAGGTGCCAACCTGCACTGGTGGAGGAGAGTGTGTGTATACATATGCATTAATGCATATAGTACATGTATACGTGTGTATATATACATGTGTATATATAATCATATATACAGGCACACATATACACACATAGCTACCGATGTCATATACACAGGATGTCCCAAAAGCCTTAGTGCAATTTTAAGCTTGAGTTTAACCACACTGGATGTCTGTGTGTCTGTGTGTGTAAGTAGCTTCAAAGTTTACAAAGCGGTTTATACACTTGATCTCATTGAAAAGTCACACCAACCCCAGCAAGGAGCTAATTGGTTGCATTAGGTGACCTCTGAGGTCCCTACCAATTCTACGTGTGTGTGTGTGTGTGTGTATGTGTGCGCGTGCATGCGTGCATGTATCTATGTTTGTATACGTATACATATATTCCTACATACATGTGATGTGTTTACACATGTATTTTACCCCAGATCCGTGATTGCATGCACACACATACCTAATTGTAATTGGGCCTGGGATTTTTCTGGTTTAGGGAATGACAAATGAGGTCAGCACCTGCTTTCCATTTCATCATCTGGGGCACTGAGAGGTTCTGTAGCTTGCCAGGGTCACACAGCCTGTGTGTATCAGAGACTTGATCCCATCTTCCTGATTGCAAAGCCAGCGCTACCCACTATACCACACTGTCTCTCTTAAACTTCAAACCACCATGTAAATGTCACTTAATGTTATATATTAAATGACCACCACATATCCACCATTCACCCTTCCCCTCTGTGAATTCCTTCTAACGTGCAATGGGTGAATAAACTCCTTTGTGGTCCCTGGAAGCTTGGAGAGAATTGTGGGTTCCAAGAGGTAATGAGATTTAGTTAGAGAGTCTTTTGAGAATCGGAGAACCCAGATTCCAGATCAGGCTCTGCACTGACTGCATTGCCTTGGGTAAGTCATATCCCTTCCCTTCTGGGAGCCTGTTTCCTCATCTGTAAAATGGAGAGGCTAGATAACCAGCCCTGACACGGACAATCCTGAGATGGGGAAGGGAAATCCTGAGCATGTCCCTCCCTGCTCTAGCTCAGAGGACGTAGATGTCCAATGGGGAACTGGACTCTGTGGTTTACCAAGGCCTCCCTGGCTCTGAATCATAAGGTCATATCCTGCATTTAAAGGGATCTTAGAGGTCATCTCACATAACCCCTCACTTTGCAGATGAGGAAACTGAGGCTAGAGAGGTTGCCTATGGCCACACAGCGAGTGTTAGAAGCAACATTTGAACCTGGGTCTCTCTGGAGCTCTGACATTTACTAGCCGTGTGACCCTGGGACAATCACTTAACCTTTCTGAGCTCGGAGATTCTGAGCAGTCGACCCTATTTCTATTTATGAGAATCAGCATCATGGCCCAGATTTATCACAGAAGAATGGCTCTCAAGTGACAATTGTTCTTTGGCCAGAACAAGCTGTGAAACCACCTAGTAGGGCCCAGAAGTGTCTGATTTACATCAGGGGAGGAAACACCTTTGCCCAGGAAATCCCAGACCATGTAGTGAAGCCAGGTCAGTAAGGGCTGCCCAGCTAGCCTCCAGCAGAAAGCTTGGCCTGCCACGGTCTAGATTACTTTCTCCCAGAAAGAAGTCCTGACTGCGTATCCTGAGCATTTTGAGACCTTGCCAGAGGCTCCAGTCTGCCTCTTTGTCACCAGAAGAAGGTTGGGCCCTGGTGCATAGAGGACGTAGTTCTCCAGGACTGGTATTGCCTCCCATCTGGGCCAGAGCAGCCTAAGAGGGCCAGCCACAGGCCAAAGAGAGCTGACCCAGGGTGAGTCTGGGAATGTGGGTCATAGGACCCTAGACCGGCAGGAGGATCAAACATCACAGACTACCTAGTCTGACCCCGCATTTTACACAGGAGGAGACTGAAGCACAGAGAAGTTAGGTGACTTACCCGACATCACATAAGCAGTAATCCTCAGATACTGGATTTGAACTCAAGTCCTGTGACCCCAGACTTTCCCAGACCACTCCTGGGTTTAAGGAAAATTTTGGGACAGAGTCATTAAGCCTGTTTTCACCAAAAAATTGCTGCCTGCGGCATGTATTTTAATAACAGGCTTAATTTCATACTTCATTTTTTTAGAGGAGGAAATAGTACAGTCTCTCACAGAATGCTTACTTAGATCACTTGGAAGATCAGGGACGCAGAGAACATGTTTTTGGGAGGGCCACTCTAATCTAACCCCCTCCTTTTTCAAAAGAAGAAACTGAGGCCCAGAGAGGAGCCGGTGAGTCAGTGGCAGAGTGAGAATGTAGAACTGGGTGTCCTGACTCCCAACGGGAGGCGAATACTACAAAGAACACCCCGGACGTCCAGCCAGCAATAACAACACCACAACCCTCTCACCGTCAGACACCATGTCACATTTCTACAATCATATTAAGGTTTGCAAAACACTTTATGTACATTTTCTTATTTCAGCCTCAGAACAGTCCTAGGACATAGGATCTACAAGTATCATTCCCATTTTACAGATAGGAAAGCTGAGGCCAAAAGAGGTTAAGTGACTTGGCCAAGGTCACATAGCTAGGAAGTGTCAGGTAGAATTCAAACTGAGGTCTCTTCCAACACCAAGCCCAGACAGACTTCCATTCACTATAGGATACTACCTCTTTGCAAAAAGAACAAACTTCTGTGATTGCGCACTTGAGACAGTTAAACCTGAACTTACTATTAATAAAGTATTGTTATCAGGGCCATTGTTATCTTGGAGGGATGTGGGGGCCCAAAGTCATCCCTAGGACAAATCACATTGTGTGTGTGTGTGTGTGTGTGTGCATGCATTCCCCCCACCCCACACAGTCCCCATCCTTCTTTCTTCCATGAAGGACCCCATAAGTAGCTCACTTTAATGGAGCCAAATAGTCCAAAAACCAAATATTGATCTGTCTGAATGAATTTAATAATAATTTCCATTATTATATTACATTACATTATATTATGTTATGTTTTATATTATATATTATATTATATTATATTATATTATATTATATTATATTATATTATATTATATTATATTATATTATATTATATTATATTATATTATATTATATTATATTATATTATATTATATTATATTATGTTATATTATATTATATTATGTTATATTATATCATGTTATATATTATATATTATATTATATTATATTATATTATATTATATTATATTATATTATATTATATTATATATCATATCATATCATATATCACATCATATCACATTATATTATATCACATCATATCATATTACATTATATTATATCATATCATATCATGTCATATCATATCATGTCATATTATATTATATCATATTACATTATATTATATTACATTATATTACATTATATTATATTATATTATATTATATTATATTATATTATATTATATTATATTATATTATATTATATTATATTATATTATATTATATTATATTATATTATATTATTATATTATATTATATTATCATATTACATTATAATACTATATAATAATTTCTCATTTGAGAGCTTTATGCCGCTTTAAGATTTGCAAAACGCTCACCTCACACAACAAGCAACAGAGATAGGCAGCCTTTAGGAACTCTCACAGATGTCGGCATCCTGTGTTTAGACCAGTCAATAATCATTCTATTTATGCTCATGTTCTCTGGCTCACAGAATTTCACAAGCAGAAGCAGGGAGTGCTGGTGTATGTTTAACAACCGGCTCTCGGCAAGGGGATGGGGAGAGCAGGGCAAGGAGAGTAATGTACCCAGGTCACATTTTTTTTTATCATTAGCATTTTTCCGTCACTTTCCTAAGTCTGGACAATCGACAGAACAATAGGCCAAGTCCTGATTTGTGGTGTTTGCCAATTTCTGAGATACAAGCGCTCAGACTGAAAATTTAACAAGTGACTCTAGCCAAGCAGAATGAGCTGGTTCCAGCACACTGTTGAGTTGGGAAGGTCTTCCCCAGTCATCTAGTGTAACAAATGACCCCAAAAGAACTGCCACTCTAGGGGGCAGCTAGATGGCCCAATGGATAGCGCACTGGACCTGGATTCAGGAAGACCTGAGTTCAAATCTGGCCTCAGACACTTGACACTTGCTAGCTGTGTGACACTGGGCAAGTCACTTAACCCCATTGCCTAATCCCCCCCAAAAAAAAAAAAACAAACAGAAGACACTGAACACAGTTTAACATTTTTTTCCTCAGTGATATAGGGTATCATTATGAATGTCAGTTTGTTGCATCATTTCAATCGTGTCCAACTCTTCACGACCATTTGGGCTTTTCTTGGAAGAGATAACTGGAGTTGTTCACCATTCCTTCTCCAGTTCATTTTACAGATGATGAAACTGAGGCAGAGTTAAGGGACTCACCCTGGGGCACACAGCTATAAGTGTCTGAGGCCAGATTTGAACTCAGGAAGATGAGACTTCTTGACTCCAGGCTGGGCACCCAATCCTCTGCACCACCTGGCCGTCCCTATTTTTTCTAAAAGTATTCAATAAGATATTTGTTCAAAATTAAAAATAATTAAAAGTTAGCTGAGAGGCCGAGCCACATCACGATTCCTTCCTGTGCCCCTTTTGTCCTTGCAGTGCAGTTGGGGATTTCCAGGTTGATGACAAGACCAAGGCCCTGTTGAAATACACAGGAGAAGTCACCTGGATGCCTCCCGCCATCTTTAAGAGTTCATGCAAAATAGACGTGACTTACTTCCCATTTGACTACCAAAACTGCACCATGAAGTTTGGTTCCTGGTCCTATGATAAAGCTAAAATCGACTTGGTGCTGCTCGGCTCGTCTATGAACCTCAAAGACTACTGGGAAAGTGGCGAATGGGCCATCATCAACGCCCCTGGGTACAAGCATGACGTCAAGTACAACTGCTGTGAAGAGATTTATCCTGACATCACTTACTCTCTCTACATCCGGCGCCTGCCTTTGTTCTACACCATCAACATGATCATTCCCTGCCTGCTGATTTCTTTTCTGACGGTGCTGGTGTTCTATCTGCCTTCCGACTGTGGGGAGAAAGTGACCCTCTGCATCTCGGTCCTCTTGTCCTTGACCGTGTTCCTCTTGGTGATCACTGAGACCATCCCTTCCACATCTCTGGTCATCCCCCTGATCGGAGAGTACCTCCTGTTCACCATGATTTTTGTCACCCTCTCCATCGTCATCACCGTCTTCGTTCTCAATGTTCACTACCGCACGCCCAAGACTCATACGATGCCCCAGTGGGTGAAGACCATATTCCTGAACTGGCTGCCCAAAATCATGTTCATGGCCAGACCCTCAAGCAGTGAGGAGGCTTCGCAGAAGTCCAGGCCTTTCTCCGGTGCCGAGCTCTCCAACCTCAACTGCTTCAGGGGCGCCGAGGCAAAATGCTGCAAGGGGGGCTCGTCTTGCCAAGATGGGACGTGTGGCGTCTGCCGCCACCAGAGGGTCAAGCTCTCCAACCTGAGCTCCAACCTTCCAAGGAGCTCCAGCTCAGAATCTGTGGATGCCACGGTCTCCTTCTCCATTCTGTCCCCAGAAATGAAAGATGCGATTGAGAGCGTCAGATACATTGCTGAAAACATGAAGGCGCAGAATGAGGCCAAGGAGGTAAGAGTGGCTTTGGGGGGCTTCTTCCCCATCAGCAAGGTCTATTAGAGTTTTGTAGATTGTAAGCGCCCTGAGGGCAGGGGATGCTCTTATATGAACTTTTACTGCTCTCTCCTGCCCTGCCCCACCCTAGCTTTGAGAACATGCTATCCATACATGTTAGGCATTTAATGTGTGAATGAATGGGGGAAAACATTTATTAAATGCTTACTGTATATACCAAGTAGTGCTAAGTGCTGAGGAGACAAAAAGAAAAATAAAATGGCTCCCGATCTCAACAAACTCACACTTTAATTGGGGAAGACAACACAGGTAGGTGAATTGAGCCTTGGGTTAGACAGCAAGGGCCCAAGAGTCCTAAGGATGTATCAAGATGTCAGCCCTGAAGGAGAGGTCTGTCAACATTGGGAAGAGGGAGGACTGGCGCTGATAAAGCACTTTGAGGTAGTAAGAGGTACAAAGTCCTTTACAAGCATTATCTCATTTGATCCTCACAACAACCCTATGAGGGAAGAACTATTATGCCCATTTTACAGAGGAGGAGACTGAGGCTCAGAACAGTAAAGCAACTTGCCCAGGGACACTCAGCTGGTAAGTGATGGAGGTGGGACAGAACCCAGCACCACTGTTCTAGGCCATGCTGCCCAAGGACAAACAACCTTGAACTTCCCACAAAAACTCTGAAAACAAGAAGGTAGAACAATTCAGCTTTTATTTTGCTTCTCTTTGCTCAACCAGGGAGAGTGGTTTTCCTACTGGGAAGGAGAGAGCAACAATGTTTAACAGGGAACTGCAACTTCAGATAAGTGAGGACGTGGTAGGGTAGATGACAGTGACACAGTCCACAAAGCCCTTGACGTGTGTTATTTCATATAATCCTCACAACACCAGGAAGTTACCCTACCTGCCCGAGCAGGAGAATATACAACTTGCCACTCAATTCTCATTCTGTAGATGATCGCACAATTGTAGAGACAGAAGCCATCAAAGAGGTGAGATGGTGAGATTTGGAGTCGGTCTCTGACAAAACCCTGTTGTGAACCAGGTTGGTCCTTCTCCCACAAGTGACAAGTGGAAGAAGGGTCAGATTTGTTTGAGACCCCTGTAAACGACAAGGTCACCCATGTGACCTTGGAGAAAAATCAGCTCATCTCTCTGATCCAAAGTTTTTTCACTTATATTATGGTCTCCATTATATAGTCAGTCAATAAGCATGTAAGTGCTTACTATGTGGCAGATGCTGTGATGGGCACCCAGGACACAAAGAAAGGCAAAAACACAGTCATTTCCCTCAAAGAGCTTCCATTCCAATGGCAAACCCAACACGCCAACAATTGTGTTCATATGAGATCTATATGGGTAGATGGAAGACATTAGCAGCCTGTGGAGGACTAGGAAAAGCCTTCTGGAATAGGAGATGAGTCTCAAGAGAAGCCCACGGGAAACCAGGAGGCAAAGGGAAAGGGGGAGAGAATTGCAGGTGTGGAGGAGAAGATGGAGCATTGAGTACGAGGAACAGCAAATTGGGTAGGGCTGAGCAGAGATAAGTGTAAGAAGACGGTCTAGATGTGAAGGGGTTAGCTTTGAAATAGAGCCGGGAGGTAGGAAAGAGCCATCTGAGCTCATAGGAAAGGGGGAGGGGCAGGAAGAGGGAAGAGACTTTCACACTAACTGATTTAACATCTGGCTACCCCCACGTTACCCAAATCACTTCTGGTCATCTTGCAAGATGGTTTTGCCTTTAAAATTAATTAGTTCAGCCTTAGGATGCTTACTAACAAAGAGCTGATTACTAGTAATCCCTCTTCCTAGGGCAATGTTCCAAAATGGATGTTTGTTTAAAAAAAAAGTCTCTTGCATGTTCTTTGGTTTGCGAGTGAAAGTCAAAGAGAAATCTATTAGAATCGAGAAGATGAGAAGCTAATTAGACTCTCAGCTTTTCTGAAGTATTAACCACTAGCACTACTAAATCAGGGGGTGCTTCATCCCACCAAACCAACCCCAGATGATTCAGCCCCTTTGTAGAGTCACCAGCATTAGGGCTAATCCCTCCACCATACAGGGGCTCCTTGTCTGCAACTTCTGACGGATCAGTATTGGGGGTCACACAGTCACTATGTATTGTAGGTGGCCCTTGGGTCCAGAACTTCCTGGCTTCGAGGTCAACTGTCTAACCATTACCCCACCCTGTCTTTCATAAAGCACAGCTAAAAAGTGCTTGTGGAATTGAGTTGAAGCCACCCCAGCTAGTGACAGTGCTTCATATTTTGTCTTTTCAAACCTGAATCAAAGGGAATTATATTCAGTATTGGTAGAAGAGATCTCCAGTCCTCTTCAGAGGAGGGATAGATCTTTGGCAGGAGAGCTTTGAAGACCAGCAACAGAGCTCACCAGCTCACAAGTAGCTCAAATTTGTTGTTTTATGGTCACAGAGAGCCACCCCCACCCTATGGGATAGGAAAGGCAATACATTGTCCCCATTTTACAGATGAGGAAACACATTTAAAGATAGTGATGATGACCATTGTATTTGAGATAGTATAGTGTGACAGAGCTGGGTCTGGCTCAAATCCTATCTCTGACTTGTAGGAACAGTGGGAAAATTATACCTCTGGGACCTAGGTAGCTACCTCACAGGGCCATTGAGAGGCTCAAATACGGTAATTAACGTGAAGAGCTTTGCAAACCTCAACAGTGTTAAGTGTTATCAGTCATTACCTTACTTCATGGTCTAGGACATCTACACATAGGTCAATGCCTTTTCCTATAGAACCATGGTCCTCCTCCCCACTCACCAGAGCTAGAATTCACCTTATAAATTAAGTCCAGCACCACTCACTTTACTAACTGAGCTCCAGGCTGGTCAGCGGGTTTGCCCAAGATCATGCTGCTCACCAGTGGTGCAGCTGGGATTCAAATCCAGGCTTCCGAACTCTCCATCTAAGGTTCTTTCTACACTACCAGCTGGTTTCCAGAGTTTTCTGTAGCTGGTTATTTGCCAGGTTTGGGTCTTTAAAAGTTACTTCCAAATTTATGGGTAGAATTCCTTTGCAACTATCTCATCATCAGTTCTACTTGTATCCGTGTGTTAGAAACAATTTTCTTTTTGACCAAATTATCTAATGGTCCATCTGTTTTATTAGTTTTTATTAGAGGCAGCTGGTAGAGCAATGGATAGCGTGCTTGGCCTGGAGTCAGGAAGACCCAAATTCAAATATGGCCTCAGATACTTATCAGCTGGGTGACCCTGGGCAAGTCACTCTGTCTCTGTTTGCCTCAGTTGCCTCAACTGTAAAATGGGGATAATAATAGCACCTACCTCTCTGGGTTGTTATGAGGATCAAATGAGATAATATTTATAAAAAACACTTATCACAGTACCTGGTACATAGCAGGCTCTATATAAATAACTATTCCCTCTCTCCCCTCCCTTTTCAAAAAAAAATCAATTCCTACTTTTATTTAGAGTTTTTGTCTTTTAATTTTGGTTAACTCTCTTTTGATTGTCAGAATGTCTTTTTTGTGTATGTCTGTGGGGTTTTTTCATTTGTTGATTTTCTAAGTATTTTTTCTTTTCAGTGGCATGTCCACTTCATTGATCTCATTTCTCTTTTTTATTTAATGATATTTTTAATATTTGTTTAAAGATATGATGTTTCCCCTAATATTTATCTTTCCTCACATTTCTTAAACCAGATTATCTGGGTAGAGTATTCCTGTTGACTTTAGGGGGAATTCTCTTTGTGTTACAATTTGGTGGGGCTTGGGAAGAGATGAGAAACAGGCCAATTGTTCATTTGAAGGATAATGAGAAATAATGCCATTCAACAAGCATTTATGGAAGCACCTACTATGTGTCAGGCCCTGGAGAAAGCAAAGACAAACACTAAATAGTCCCTGCCCTCAGCAAGCTTGCTTCCTATTGGCATAATGCAGTATGGATATGGGTGCCAGATATGGTATAGAGCTATGGTATCAAATTCAAATAGAAATTTAGAAAACTACAAATTAATGTTACCTATGTTGTAGCATATATTTTTTATTTATTTTAAAGGTTTTCCAATTGCATTTTTAAATGGTCCTGGCAACACATGTGAGTTTGATACCTCTGGTTTGGAGAACTCTGGACCAGGAAACTCCTACCCACACAGATCAGCAATTCCTCTGAAATTCAGTCCTCAGAGGAGTCTGGGCTAATGAGAGGTTAAGTGACCTGCCCAGAGTCACACAGCCAGGATGTGTCAGGGGTAGAATTTGAACCCATCTCTCTATCCACAAAAGCTTATTGCCTCATCAAAATACAAGATTCAGTTTCAGTTGTTTTTTAGTGGTGTCCAACTTTTCATGACCCCATCTGGAGTTTTCTTGGCAGAGATACTGGAGTGGTTTGATATTTCCTTCTCCAGCTCATTTTACAAATGAGGAAACTGAGGCAAACAGTGTTAAGTGACTTGTCTAGGGTCACACAGCCGGTAAGTGTCTAAGGCCAGATTTGAACTCAGGAAGATGAGCCAGGCATTCTATCTATGGTGCCACCTAGCTGCCCCAAATATGAGCAACATACAAAATAATGGATGAAGAGCAGAGCTAGACTGTGAAAGTCAGGATTTGAACTCAGGGTCTTTGACAGCAAATCCTCTACCATTTAGGATAATAGTATCAAAAATAACTTTCAGACAAAAAACTTCGGCCCTTTCTATAAATTATCTTGCAGCCACCAAAGCAGATAATTAGGCCTTTACCGCTATTGAGCCTGCGGCCCAGAGAGAGAAAAAGAAATCATTTTCGGGCCAGCCAGAAGGCTTTTCTCATTGTACAACTAATTGAATCCCTCACTGACATGTTCCTCCTGTTGTGATGTGGTACCAGACTTCTTTAAATTCAGTTGTTTCCCAGGTTTGAGCCTCCTCCATTCCATGTCTTTGCCTTCTGCCTTGTCTAGGAAGGTAATTAAAGTACCATTGACTTCCTCCCTAATTTCTAGGGTTGAGGCGATGCTGGATAAGGCCCAATTAGCCGAGCTCTCTCCAGGCCTCCATTTGACCCATTAATTACTATTTGTGGCTCTGTCTTGGAGCAGCACAGCCCTGACTTTTCACATATCTGCTGTCCCTTTGAGTGTGAAGGTGACACTCCCGATGGGAAGGCCATGAGGGGAAGAGGGCGCAACCCGGCCCTTAGAATGGCAGTGAACGTGCCATGGTCTGGTCCTACCATTCAGGGATGAAGCTGACAGACTCAGTTTCCAGCTTTTGTTTATTGGGACCCGTTATTTCATTGGTACTCCCTACGAGGAAACTCTCTCTAACCCAGGGGATCTTAACCTGGGCTCCACAGACCCCTTAAGGGATCCATGTATAGATTTTAGTAGAGTCTCTAAATTTGCTTTTAAAAGATTTTGATGACTGTTATTATTTCAATGTAATTGGCTTCCTTTGTGATACTTTATTTTTATTTTTATTTACTTTATATATTTTATATTTTACTTTATGCATTTAAAAACATGATTCTGAGAAGAGGTGCAGAAGCATCCCAGACTAACAAAGGAGACCATGACATCAAAAAAGGTTAAGAACCCCAGTTCTGACCAATGTAAGTCAGTACACATGTTCTGTAACTTAGAGGCTTCTGGACCCTGAGAGGCTAAAGACTTGCTCCTGGTGATGCAGCCCTATGTCAGAGGTGGTATTTGAACCCAGGTGTCTTAACTCTGAGATGGACCCTTTATCCCTTGTGGCCTCCGGTGGCTTCCTGTTAGCATCTAAAAATGGAAGAGAACAAAAAACCCACCCTCCTGCCTTTTTGGTCTCCTCCCTGCCCATGTGGTCTGGGACCACGGGCCTGGCCTCCCTGCTCCTTCCCCTGGGTGCTTCCTCTGGCCATCAGGGGCCTGGAATGCTGGAGCCCTCCCGGCTCCTGTGGCTTCCTTCAATTCCCAGCAAAAATCCCCCTTCCTCAGGAAGGCTTTCCCAATCCCCCTTAATGCTCCTGCCTTTCCTCTGCTGGTGATCTCCAATTTATCTTGTCTGCATCTACTTGTTTGTATGTTGTATTTTCCCATTAGACTGAGAGCTCCTTGAGGGGAGGGACCGCTCTTGCCTTTCTTTTTATCCCCAGCCCTTAGCACGGTGCCCAGCACATAGGAGGTGCTTAATAAATGCTAATTTTATAAAAATGGTAAACTCTACAAGATTTCAGCTGAATGACATAGCAGAGTTCCAGAGTCCCCATTCATGGTGCAATTGAAGAAAGAGCTAGATTTGGAGTCAGGGGATATACGCTCAAATCCTGCTACCTCTGTGTGACTACAGGCAAGTTGATTCACCACTCAGAGCTTTGGTTTCCTCCTCTGAAAAAGGAGGGGGCTAGACTAGGTGACTTCTGAGGTCTGTTCCAGCTCCAAACCAATTATCCTGAGGTCACTGAACTAATATCACCCCTTTTCTTTCCTTGATTATTTAATCTTGAGCTTCGCCAGTAGCTGTGGTGGTGGGGACTAGAAATGCCCCTGGACTGAAGTCACAAGACCCAGATTTCCTGCCCAGCTCTGCCACTTCCCAACTCTCAGAGCCTCAGTATTCTCACCTGAGATATGGGGGTGATAATAACACTTATGTTCCTACCTCACTGAGTCGTTTCAAGGAAAGCCCTTTCTATGATGGACTTGTGGTCAGAAAACCTGGGTTTCAGGTTTTCTTTTATTTTTTTTTTAATCTAGAAGATGAACCATAAAGCCACGAGTATCTGATACTTAGAATCAAAAGAGAGTCTTTAGAAGTTGTTGGGTTTTTTTTATATTTCTGGCATTCAATTGAGAAGAAAATAATTCCAAGTTTATCTAACTCATTCTTGTTTCAGATTGAGTTGAAATGTCCAATCTAGCCAGACCCTTTTTTACCCACCTGATGAAGGCTCCAGTTAGATCCTACACGATAGATAAAAGGGAGAGGGAGAGGCTGTCCGCATATGGGAGAATGAGTTAACATTCCTGTTAGATCTCCACGATGGGCTGCTGACAGCAGAAAAATGCAATTCAGCTTGACAAACGTGTATACATCCATACACATACACACACATATATATATATATATATATATATATATATATATATATATATATATATATATATATATATATATATATATATATATATATATATGTATACATACACATATACATACGTATTACATAATATATTTTAAAGAACATGTTTGTTGATACTTTTTACCTTCACATTATGGTCATTTCTGGAGGAGGGGAGGAAAAAACAAACAAACCACTTTTCCTCCCCACTCCAGATTGAACCTTCCCTTTGGGAAAAAGAAAAAAAAAATAGTTAAGCTAAATTATCTCGTAGAGTTCAGGCGTTTGATTCCTAGGAGACCCCACCTGTCTTCCCTGAATGTAGAGTCATCCTTCATTTCCGGTCCTCTAGAACGATCATGGCTTTTTTTAATTACTCAATACACACAACGAATTATCATCTCTACATAGAGGATTCCCAGGTCTATACATGCAGGCCTAGTCTCTCTCCTGAGCTTCAGTCTCACATCACCACATCTCTACCTTTTGAACATCTTGAATACAATGTCCTGTAGGCATCTCAAACTCAGCACTTCCAAAACAGAACTCATTGTCTTCTTTAAAGAGGCAGCTAGATGGTGCAGTGGTTGGAGTTCTGGGCCTGGTGTCAGGAAGACCTGAGTTCAGATCTGGCCTCGGACACTTATTGGCTGTGTGGCCCTGAGCAAGTCACTTAACCTCTGTTTGCCTCAGTTTCCTCAACTGTAAAATGGGGTTAATGGTGAGCATCAAATGGCACATAGTAGGAGCTATCAATGCTAACTGCTTTCATCATCATCATCATCATCATTATTATTATTTCCCATGAACCCTTCTCAGTTCCCAGCTCCCCTCTTATTCCTGAGGCCCGCCATCTTCCCAATCACCCAGGCCCACAACAGAGATGTCATCCTCAGTTCCTCCCTATCACTCTCCCTATGTATTCTCTCTATAGTCCAGTTTCATTGGTTCCACCTTCCCGGCAAGTCTTAGATGCTGGTTCAGACCCTCAACACCTCTCCCTCAGACTGTTGCAATTCCCTGACTGATCTCCTTGCCTCAAGGCCCTCCCCTTGCTCAGGCTCACCCCATTCAGCTGCCAAAGTGATTTAAAGCACAGGACTGATGGGGTCAGGAGGCTTCAATGGCCCCCTATTCCCCCTCCTTTGTTTGGCATTTAAAACCCTCCACAGCCCAGCCTCCACCTACCCTTACAGTCTTTGTGTACCCTACTCCCCTCCCCACACACTATGATCCATCTATACTGGCCCACTCACTGTTGCTCACACCAGTGTCCCAATCTCCCACCTCCGTGCCTTTGTCCTGGCTGCCCCCCCGTGGCTGGCATGCTCTCCCGCCTCACATCCTACTCAAGGCTAAGCTCTAATGTCACCTTTTCTGGTCCCTCTCCCTGCTAGGGCCTCTCCTCTGAGATTGCTTTTGATTCTGTCTGCCTCTTCTACTCATTTACATGTTGCCTTCCCCATCAGAATGTGAGCTCCCTAAGGGTAGGGCTGGCTTAGCACAGGCACACAGTAAGTGCTTAAGAAATACTTGTTGACTAAGTGACAATGTTACTAAAAGGAAACATTTCTTATTAAAAATATCTTACTATTGATAACTTTCAGGGGTTTTCTATCACCTTCATTTCTGAATGTACTCCAGACCTCCCCCTACCCAGCAAGCCATTCCATGTAACAAGCTTTAAAAAGAAAAAGAAAGCAATTTTACAAATCCAACAAACACATTAACCGTGTCTGGCAATAGATGCAGTATTCCCCACCTATGGTCTCTCATCTCTGAAAACATGGAAGGGAGGTCCGTTTTCTCAACTCTTCTCCAGGACCAAACTCGGTCATTATTATTATCCAACTTTCTGTTTCCAAACATTTCTTCTTAACAAAAATCTTCTGCTACTACAGATCCCTGTGCTCACCATCGGGGGATACAAGTTCTTGCCTTCATAAAGCTTACAGTCTAATGAGGGATATGACAAATACCTAAATGTCACAATACAAAATAATTGATGCATGACAACTGCATAGGGGGTGGGGGTGGGGGTGTGCCAGAGCAATGTCCTAACCCCTACCCCCAGGCAAGTCAGGCTAGTTTTTTCCTTAAAAGGCATTGAGACTTCCTTGAGATTTGGTTGGCTCAGGTAACTAAAGGCTTAGACTATTGACATCACCTCCTTATCCTCTGAGGACAACACAACCAGGAGGGAACTCTGGTGCTTGGCTGGTGGATCAGGATGGATACCTCAGGCAAGAGAACTGCTTGGCTAAATCAGCTTGAGGTATCTTTAATGCCTTTCCTTATTCCTGCTATAGTTAAGTAAACCTCTTTCTTTCTTAACTGCTCGATGACCTATGAGTGTCATATTTGTAGCAAATAGAGAGCTGGACTTGGAATCAGGAAGGCCAGGTCACATTTACTATGACCCTGGGCAATTCACCTTACCCCTGTCTGCCTCAGTTTCCTCACCTGCAAAATGAGGATAATAATAGCATCTACCACCTAGGATTGTTTTGAGGACTGAATGAGAATATCTATAAAGCCCTTCACAAAGCTTTAATTGCTATATAAATGCCAATTATTATTATGTTGAACCTACATGACCAGGACCTGGCCTGAGTCAGGTTTAGACCAGAGCAGGGCATGAAGTGCCATAGGGGTAAATTCATGACTAGTTGGGGAAAGGGAGAAGAGATCAGAGAAGGCTCACAGGAGGAGGGGGGACATTTTGTGTCTAAATTTTGAGGCTAAACTGAGTTTCTTTTGGTCTTCATGTTTGCACTTGTGTTTTTCAGATTCAAGATGATTGGAAATATGTTGCCATGGTCATTGACCGCATTTTCCTGTGGGTTTTCATTCTGGTTTGTATTTTAGGAACAGCAGGGCTGTTCTTGCAACCCCTGATGACAGGAGATGAAGTATAGGTGACATCGATCAGGAAAGCCATTCTGACTCCCAGCCGAAGCTGTTGTTCCATTGTCCGAGAGCTCTGTCCCCCAACTTTCTTTAAGGAAATAGACGTCTCTCTGGGTGCCGTCGGTATCCTTGCACTTCCTTTGTTTTCAGCTAGTAAATTTTTCCTTTTTAACTCACCCACTTACACTTTAACTGCCTTCACTTCACTAACCTCTAACACCTTAACACCACTTACACCCAGGTTTGCACCAAGCAAGAAGACAGTGTATTGATGCATTTATCCATCATAACAGTGTGGATAACCAAATTTTATAAATAATGCAACATGGGGAAAATAACAAATAAATATCAGAAAGCCTAATTCTTCTATGTGGGAATTAGGTATATTCAGCATAATTCAGTTCAGCAAAATTTTATTAAGCGCAAGGCACTGGGGATACAAGGACGAAAAAACAGTTTCCATCTTCAAAGAGTTTACCTTTTAGTAGAAGCCAAATTATATGCACAAATAAGGAAAGGATCAGATACAGAGACTGGAAAGGATCCTAGGCAATCATCCAATCAGATTTCAAGCTGGAAGGGACCCTTTTGTTTTACAGATTAGGAAACTGAGGCCCAAAAAGATTAAGCGACTCATCCAAGGTGACATAGTAGAATCAGGATTTGAACCCAGATCTTTTTACTCCAAATCCATTGTGATCAGAAGAGAAAGAAAAGAAATCTAGAGAGTGCTAGGAGAAATTTATGAAAGAGTAGCTCATTGTCTGCTGGCAGGAGGAGGCCAGGGAAGGCTTCCAGGAGGAGGTGAAGGAGCCTCTTTAACAGTTAAGAGAGGATTGCTAGAAAGGAAACCTGGATAGAGTTTGAAGGCATTTAAAGGGGACTAGACTTGTGATTTCATTGGTACATCTAGGCAGCAAGGTAGCACAGTGTAAGAAGGCTCGATTTGGAGTCAGGAAGACCTGGGTTCAAATGTGACCTCAGACACATACTAGCTAGCCATTTAACCTCTGCCTCAGTTTCCTCATCTATAAAATGGGGATAAGAAAGCACCTCCTTGTGAGGATCAAATGGGATAACCCATATAGTGCTTTGTAAAACTTAAAGCCCGGCATAATTAAATGATAATGCCAATAATAATAATAATGATTATTATTATTATGAACTTCTGGCAAGGGAACTTCTCTCCCTAAAGAGATAAATCCTGCTCACTGGTATTTATTACAAGTAACTTACGGTCTTATAAAAATGCTTTTATTTCTCTTCACAGTCTTTTGTTATCTCCCCCCTATTGAACAAGAAACAAACAAATAAAAACCCTCAGAGTAAGTGTTATTTTGGTCTTACGAAGCTGCTGGGGCACAAAGCTTGAGGGACTTCCCCAGGGTCACCCAGGTGGCAGCCCAGGTTGCCTGGGGCCCTGGAAGTCACCTGGAAAGAGGCCCAGATCTAAGTGGCAGAGCTCACCACTTACCGCATCAGTTTCCTTCTCTGTGAAAGAGGGATTTGGACAGGACGCCTCCGCGGTCCTTTCAGTTCTAAGTCTATGACTGTCTGATTTAAACCAAGGAACAAAGGGGAACATAGTGGGATGAGAACTGAATACAGACCCTCCTCCTACCCCTCCTTGCTAATGTCAATCAATCATCCAACCTACCAACTCAACAGAAATCTAGTCAACTCCTCTCATGTGCCAGTCCTTAAGTGCTTGGGAATACAGAGACTAAGAATAGATTGTTCCTGCCCTCAGGGAGCTTGTACTTTATGTGTGGGCCTTCATAAGGGAGAACTATTATATATGGAAATTCACATCCATGAAACAGATTAAACTGGGGGCAACTATTTACTTCCCCAAAAGGTCCAATTTGATTCGACAAGCATTTACTCAGGGCCTCATGTGCACATTTAGAAAAGGTTTCATCTTAGGATTCCTTCTCTTCTGTAAATGAATTGTAGGCTTATTTAGAAAAAGGCTTGCTTCATAAACACTCCATCCACCCAAGAAATTTCCAGAATTTCCCTTTCTTCCAAAGTGGGCCCAGCTGTGCTTTTCTGACACAACTCCTTTCCTGCCAAAAAATTCAAATGGTTCTTAATTGCCTGTGGGCTAAGCTTTCCTCAGAGGACAGGGGTTCTTAACCTGGGCCAGGTAGACTTCAGAGGATCCTCAAACTGGGATGGAAAAAAAATGATATCTTTATTTTCCCTAACCTCTATTTGAAATTGGGAAGTTCCTTCTATTACTTAAAAACAGGATTCTGAGAAGGGGTCCACTGGGGTCCATGATACACACAAAAAAGTCAAAAAACCCACTGGTAGGGAGAGCTCATGCCTCCCATCATATCTAGAATTGCCAGATCTATTAGGGTCGATTGACCTTTAGAAAAGGTGCTTAATATGAGGAGAAAATGGCATCTAGTACTATTATCAGACGGTGCCCCTAGTCCCACTTTAAACTCTCCTGGACCACCATCTTGACTGTGAAGAGAAAGCTAATGATCCAGAGAGACCATGTCGATCTTCTCTTTCCCTTCAGAATTAAAGTCTGCTTTCCTGTGCACAAATAAAACATGAAAACTATAGAAAATAAGTGACTCACTTCTCCATTTTTCAAGAATTTTATTTGTACTTGAAATGTTTTAAAGCCATAGAGGGTGGGGAAGCCATGAAGAGTTCCAGGCATGTCTGTGCTTAACTGTTCCAATATGCCCATGGTTCTGTGATCTCATAGATTTCAGTATTCTCTCCAGCAGTGCAGATGGTGATCCATCTGTGCCTGCCCATCCCATGCTATTCTGCTCCAAGTCTTGTCTCCAATATTTACTAATTGTGGGTGTTCCTTAATGTCCCTGGGCCTCAGTTTCCTTTTCTGTAAAGGGAAGCAGTTGGACTAGATGGCCTCTGAGGGCCCTTCCAGCTCTAGGCCAGTGATTCTATGTGAATGGAGACATGAGCCATTCTAAAATATTAGAGTCAGCTAAGCAGTAGAGACCTGTTAAGCCAGTCCATCATCAGGACCATCACATCATCACGTGGGATTTTCTAAAGTATCTACTGATTGTAAAATGCAAGTTAACTAGAAGCGGGACCTGCCCTCCAAAGGTAACGAACGGTTAACTTGCAGGATAAATGGCTCAACCCAAGCTGGGCTTGCCAATAGTCATCTAAATTCAAGTGACTCCTCAGGAATTTAAAATGGAAAGAAAGATCGCCAACCTTCTAGCCTGTTCCTTTAGCCATGAATGTGTGTTTAGAATTGTTACAGACCATAAGTTTGTGACCACGTGCATCACACCAAGAGATGCAACTGTTTTTGCTTATCTCCTCTTGCCTAAGTTCAGTTGGGAATTTGGAGAATGAGAAAGCCAAGCAGGCTTAGCATTGCTGCCCTTAAACGTTGTTCAGTCAACTCTTCATGACCCCATTTGGGGTTTTCTTGGTAGAGACACTTCAGTGGTTTGCCATTTCCTTCTCCACATCATTTTACAGATATGGAAACTGAGATACACAGGGTAAAGTGACTTGTTCAGGGTCACACAGCTGGTGTCTGAGGCCAGATTTGAACTTAGGAAGTTGAGTCTTCCTGACTCCAGGCCCAATGCACTATCCACTGTGCCACGTGAGCTTTTGGCAAACTGGAGGCAGGCTGAATGTTGTCCTCAAGTCCAGGAGGCTCTTTGCATGGAAAAGGGATTTCACTAAGAATATCTGAAAAACCCAGTATGGAAGGTCCAGCCGGAATTGTCTTTGTAATTGTGGAGAATAAAGTCTGTGCACAACACATCATATATATAACATATATGTGTATATATATGTGTGTATATATATATATTTATGTGTATGTTGTGTGTGTGTATACACACACATACATATAATACACACACACACACACACACACATATATATATATATACATATATATATATATATAGTAGGTAGAGATGGGGTGATCCAAAATTATAACATTTTGGATAATGTTTTATAAAGTAAACACAAGGATAAGGGGATAATACTGGAAAGGATCTGAGATTTCAGACAGTGTGGGAAACTCCTAGTGAAGGAACACCTTCCTCCAGATCACTATATGACTGAGACTCAGCAGCTAAGTCCTAGGGTGCTCCTGGGGCAGAAAAAGTTTAGCTGCCTGGCCCAAGGTTACTCAGGTCGAAAGCATCTGGAGGTGGAATCTGAACCTCGCTATTCCTGAGATGATGTAACAATTTAATTTAATTTAAACCAAAGGGAATTGCTTTGATTGATGGGCCAGGGTTAGTGGGGAGGGGAAATGCTGGGAAAATTAAAGCTAAATGCCTGAAGAAAATCCTTTGGGACAAGGAAGGAGGTTGCATCCAAGCACTTTAACATTTATATGATTTTACTGTCGAGGAACAGGATCCCATTTATGGTGAAATGAGATATATAGAAATAACACAAAATGAGCGGTTGGTTGAGGCATCTAAAAAGGAAAACTCTAAGGGAAGTTCCAATCAAATACACAGAAAAGAAATCTTGATTTTTAAAGACCAGAAAAGCAGTGTGCTGTTCACTTGTAATTTTACATCAAATAAAAACATTATCTATTTAATGTAGCATAACACAAAGATTGTTTGCAAGATGAAGACAGGATAAAAAGAACCAGGATTTTAAAATTGGGATTGTATCACTCAGGACACAGCATTTCAAATTAATGTTAAACTTTAAATCTCTGTGCAAATGTGAGTTGTTGTTATAAATAAAATTGGCGTTCTTCCATAATGTCAAGAGGACAGCCTCTTTAAAAAGCCCCATGCATTATTGGTCCTAAATTAGCATAACTAAGGAAGATATGTGGGCAGCTAGGGGCAAAGTGGACAGAACACTGGACTTAGAGTCAAGACGACTCATCTTCATGAATTCACTTACTGGCTGTGTGACCCTGGGCAAGTCACTTAACCCTGTTTACCTTAGTTCCTCATCTGTAAGATGGGCTGGAGAAGGAAACGGCCAACCACTCCAGTATCTTTGCCAAGAAAACCCCAAATGGGGTCAGGAAGAGTCAGACAGGACTGAAAAACAACTCAACAACAACAACAAAGGAAGACGCACTGGGTCAATGACAGAATTTGGAAAGCAGCTTCTGACTCTGTTCAGCATCTCAAAATGCCATTATTCAAACAATGGACTTTGGGAGCTACATTATCTTTGCAGATTGGTCCTGTTAGAGACAATCTCAGAGAAAGCAAGTATCCACAGATTATACTATAGTGGGTGTGAGGATGCCAACCTCATTTTAAAATTTAAACGTGATTTGCTCTGTTTTATTTCTTCATAATTGCCAAAGAAGACTTTGAGAGAACCTAGGTACCTTTTTTTTTTGGATAAGCCTGTCTAGACCATCCTTGGGACAGCATCACTTATTTGTATTCCCAATATGATTCGGTATGGAGATATTGGCCCATTTATAAATAACAGGAACGAAAAGTCCAAGTGATCCAATTATTGAAACCAGAAGAAAAGTCCATAAAAACATCCGGTCAAGTACTTGGGCTATGAATTTCCAGTCTTCAACAACCTAATATGATTAAAAAAAAAAAGAGAAAACAGAAAAACTCAAACACACATGAAACACCTATTTCCTCCATATTGATCAGATTTTAGAACTTATCAAATATTTTATAATAGGATACAAAAGTGCCCTATGTCATATGCCTTAAGAGATACTGGACAATGGCTCCAGTATCTTAGGCCTTGGGCCATCTCCCATCACTGTATCTCCCAAGCTCTGGCTTCAGCTACCACACTCTGGAAGAAGGGGATCCCAGAATTTTAGAGATAGAGGAGACACTCAGGATCAGCTAATTCAAGCCCCTTATAGGAAACAATAGCAATTAGCATTTATGTAGCACTTTCAGGTGTGTGGAGCACTTTATGCATGTTCTGTCATTTATCTTCACCTTACAGAGGCTAAGAGGCGAACAATAACTTTCTTAGGCACACAGACACTTGCCCAGAGTCTAGAACCCTGGGCTCCTCCCCGTGAACCAATTGCTGTCTTTGATCCGCCATGCTGCTGCCCCCTGTCCTTGCCTAAGCACAGGCTCTCTGCCCCACCGTGCTTGGACAAGAATCCCTCCTAACCTCCACCAAACCTCTTGTTCTTCATTTCCTTCTAAGCACACTTCAAGCACCACTTGCTAAAGGAGGCTTTTCCTGACGTCCCCCATGGCTGCTGCTTTCCCACCACCCAAAACTGAGTTGATTTTACATTTCCTTGTAACCCTTCTTTTCAATGCATAATAGGGAGACTTACGGTCTCTTTAAGACTTAAATGAATGTTGGAAATGAAGCTTCTATAGTCTCTGGAAGACAGACATGCAAAATGGACAAATTACATCTCCTCAATGTGGGTTGGAGTAGGGGGTCTCTAAGGTTCCCCCTGATTCTAAATCCATGATCCTGTGTGTACGTGCTGTCTCCTCTGACAAAATGTAAGCTCTCTGAGGTCAAGGACTGTTGTGGTTTCACGTTCCTTTCTTTAGTACCTGGCACATATGCTTGTTGGCTGATCGATGCCTTTTTCTTTCAAATTCATGCTCGTGTGTGTGTGTGTGTGTGTGTGTGTGTGTGTGTGTGTGTGTGTATGGATGGGTATGTATACAAAATCTGGCCCCAGACATTAGCTGTGTGATCCAGGGTAAGTCATTTTTGGACATGACTGAAAATGACTGAACAACAATAAAATGTTTGAATTATGTATATATCAAATTACGTATTAGGTATATATTACATATCATGTATGAATTATGTATATATAAAAAGAGAGACAGCATGACCTAAAGGATAGAGAGCTGGTGTCAGAGCTAGGAAGACCTGGGTTCAAATTCTACCTCTAACTCATACTGGCAAAAGTTATTTAACCTGTCAGTGCTGCAGGCAGCTTGCTAAATTGCTAAGGAAGTGCCAACCTGCATCAATAGAGTTTTCTCATTTGGGAGTTCCTTACACCAATGAAATCACAGGGCTAGGCTCTATCTCTATATGTTTCAAGGATCCATGACTTTTAAAGAGTCTGTGTGACCTCTACTCATTTAGGTCACAATTCTCCTATGCCTTTCCCGAGTCATTATGTCCAAAAATAAGTTAATCACCTCACTGGCAGTCTATGGAAGCATTTGATTTAGACTCAGAAGCCCTATGAGTCCCAGCTCTGCCACTGTGTGTCCATGTTATGCAATCATGGACAAGTCACTTATCCTGAAAATAATTTGGGTCACCACTGAACTTCAACTAGAAAGCTGGGGAGTAGTAAGCCAGAACTGGTACTTTATCTCCATCCGAAATCTGAGTTTAACTCACAAGACACTGGGACAGACCTCACGGATGTCATTCTCCTTCATGACGTGCCTCGTGATGTAGCGGATGGAATCAAGAGCAGCCTCCAAGGTGTCCCGAGAAGATGTGGGGCCACTGATCTTGCCAGTTTCCTCCCTGTGGGTAAAGTATCGATCCACATGGCTTCTCATGCAAAGAAACTTTGGAAGCTGATGAAGAAAGATCTTGCGGACCCAAGGTGCCATGGGATTGTGTGTGGAGGAGGAACGATGGTTAATGTTGATCGCAAAGACGGTCACCATGATTGACAATGTCACGAAAATCATAGTAAACACGAGGTACTCTCCAATTAGAGGGATGACTTTGGAAGATGATGGGATGATCTCTTCAATAACTAGGAGGAAGACAGTCAAGGACACGAGCACTGAAGTGCAGAGACTGAGCTTTTCACCTTCATTGGAAGGAAGATAGAAGACGAGCACTGTTAAAAAGGAGAGCCCAATGCACGGTATGATGAGGAAAAGGGTATAAAAGAGAGGCAAACGCTTAATTACAAATGAATAAGTCACATAGGGATACCAGCAACATCCATCTGTTCTGTTCCCTTTCCTTCCAGTGGCACTCACTATTTCCCATTCTCCATTATCGAAGAAATCTCTTTTGTCTACATCATAATCCTCCAATACTAGATCCACCTGTGATCCATCGTACGTCCATGAACCGAATTTCATAGAACAGTTTTGGAGATCAAATGGGAAAAAGGTGACATCTATGGTGCAGGAGCTTTTGTAGTTGGCTGGTGGGGTCCAAGCCACAGTGCCATCATATCTTACAACTGTTTTTGTGCTGGTCCCTTCAAAGCGTCCATCTGCACTGAAACAACACACACGTGAACATAACACATATTAGTCACATAGGCAAGCGAACAACCTAAACAATTATCTTACAGGTAGTTTTTTTTGTTTGTCTCAAACATGCAAGTTCTAGAATTTACTAGTACTAGAAAAACAACCTTTTATAATTCAATCTCTCTCTCACACACACACAGAGATATAATTTTAGCCACTATAAAAATCATGTTCAAGTTCAGCATGATGTAATAGAAAGAAAACTATACCATACTACTACTAGGCATGTACTATACTTCAAAAAGGTCAAAGACAGTGGGTAGGGACCTATACATATGAAAAATATTCATAGCAGCACTTTCTGTTATAGCAAAGAATAAAGGTGCCCACAAATTAGGAAATGGCTGAACAAGTGAAAGTAGTAGAATAGGATTTCCCTGTAAGAAAAAGGACAGAATTCAGAGAAACTCTGAAGGACTTGTATGAACTGCTGCAGGGTAAAATGAGTAGAATTAGAGTGATATACATGATAATTATAGTATTCTAAATGAAAACAACTTTGAAAGACTAAAGAACTCTGATTAATCCAGTGACCAGTCATCACCTAAGAAGACTGATGATAAAACATACTTCCCCACTTCTTTGCAGAGAGGTAGTAGACTAGAGGTGAGGAATCCGACATACGTGTTCAGACAAAGATGAGGTGACTTATTTCACTTGAATATACTTATTTGTTAGAATAAAGAGATTCTATTGGGAGTGATGGTAAGGGCCTAGTGCTAGAAGAAAGAGAGGAGAGGAGGAGAGGAAGAGGCAGAGAGAAGGAAGGAAGGGAGAAGGAAGGAAGAAAGAAAGAAGGAGGGAAAGAGGAAGGAAGGAGGGAAGGAAGGAAGGAAGGAAGGAAGGAAGGAAGGAAGGAAGGAAGGAAGGAAGGAAGGAAGGAAGGAAGGAAGGAAGGAAGGAAGGAAGGAAGGAAGGAAGGAAGGAAGGAAGGAGGAAGGAGGAAGGGAGGGAGGGAGGGAGGGAAAGAGGGAAGAGAAGGGAACGAAGGAAGAAAAGAAGCAATGAAGGAAGGAAAAAAGGAAGGAAGGAAGGAAGGAAGGAAGGAAGGAAGGAAGGAAGGAAGGAAGGAAGGAAGGAAGGAAGGAAGGAAGGAAGGAAGGAAGGAAGGAAGGAAGGAAGGAAGGATGAAAGGAAGGAAGGAAGGAAGGAAAGAAGGGAAAGAAAGGGAAAAGAAGGGAAGGAAGGAAGAAAAGAAGCAATGAAGGAAGGAAGGAAGGAAGGAAGATTTGAGTCTGGATCTTCCTAATTCCAAGTCTCACACTTTATCCATCATCTATACTTCTTCCCACACTCAGAGAGTTTAAAGGATCATTTATGTGGAGTTGGAAGGGACTACCAAGGTTATCTGCCTCTTCAGTTCACAGATGAGGAAACTGAGGCCCAGAGAAGCTAGATGTCTCTCCCAAGGTCACACAAGTTGGGATTTGAACCGAGTTCTTCTGTTTCCAAAGCCAGTGCCCTTATAAAAGCATGAAAAGAGGCTCTTAGGACAGGCATTGAGTCCTAGGCCTAAGCACACAATGGCTGCTCCGTATGACAGAAATATGAGATAGCACAGGACATTTTAATATGCAGTCTAATAGAAAAGGACAAGATGAGGTCCAGAAGGAATGTGATTAGATCACTCAACTCTATAAATCTCCACGTGGTGGAGGCGGAGAGGCAGTGATGAATATTTACACAGCCTGCTTTTATTCTACAAACATAAATCACACTAATGTTTCGCTCTTACTTGTCAAACAATACTATGTCTGGAGTCCAGATGGAGTCGGAGGGGACGCGGATAGCTTTGATTCCAGCGTAGTCATCAGGGTTCCATCTTAATTTTACATCAATCCATTCCTTAAAAATAAAGAACACTGCAGGGCATAAGAAAAACTAAATATCGAAATGTGCTGGCAGGCAGTATAAGTGATCATGCATTCATTCAATGGAAGTTTATTAAGAAGCTTGATTTGGAAAGCACCCCGCTAGGCACCGGGCCTAACAGTTCTTGAAGAGCTTTACAACTCAATTACTTCCAATTACATGAATAAATAATGATGGAAAAGGAGCCTGAGATAAGTGTAAAGGAGAAATTGAGGCACAGTGTTATGAGAAATATGAGTGAGAGCACTTCTTTACCTGGTGGGAAAAAGGTAGGAGAGAATAGGGCAGGAAAGGTTCCATGGGACTCAATTCTTTCTTGCAATACCAAGGGCTGCACAGACACACACATGTACACCCATGTTTAAAGCCCAGGGACAACACTTTCTTATCTTGCCAGGGGATAACCCAGATCCTGCCTACAATACTCTGGGCTGGCAGGGGCTCCACATACTCAGGATACCTCCAGCCATGGTCCCCAAGAAGCGCAGGTAAGCTGGAGCCTGACACAACTTCCAAGCCAGATACTTGGGGGCTCTGCCTAGACCCTGCTCCAACAGAGTCTACAAAGGAATCCTGGGCAAGATAACTAGAGCTGGGACCCAGCACTACCACCATGATGAGCACAGCTTCAGAGCCACGAATGGAGACAAAGACTCGTGTCTCCCCTTTTCTTCCTATGTTGGTGATTCTGACAGCTGCCATCCTGTCCTTAGACAGGCTCATACCTGCACCCATCACAACGTTATCCCAAGGATGCTAGATGGCCCTGAATTATGGGATGCCCTGATATGGTTTTTCACACTGGACCTAAAATGTAATTGGTATAAGGAACCCCCAGTGAAGAAAGACCTTCCACCAATGCAGAAGGACTTGAACCCAGATCTTCCTGACTTCCTCTCAATCCACTACTCTGAGCTACCTTTCTCTCTATGTTTCTACTCTCTCTCTCTTCTTCTTCTTCTTGTTCTCCTCCTCCTTCTCCTCCTCCTCCCTTTCTCTCTCTGTCTCCTCTCTCTTTTTGTCTCTGTTTCTATCTTTCTCTGTCTCTCCATCTGTCAGTCTGTCTCTCCTTTTCCCTTTCTCTCTCTCTCTCTCTCTCTCTCTCTCTCTCCCTCTCCCTCACAGGTTGGAAGTACACTGGCCACTTCTGGACCCAATCCCAGTGCAGATCAGCATGGATATCCCCTTTTCCAACCTGGGCCAGTTCACGCCTCCTAAAAGCTTGGTGGTCCTTCCACTCCCAGGGTTCATCATACAGTTCCACACTTAGTTCAGACATCCAATCAGCTTTAGCCCAATTGAAGCTCAGAACTCCTGAACTCAAGCTATCCACCAGCCTCAGTCTTCCCAGAAGCAGGGACTACAAGGTATGCTCTACCAACCCTTGTCTTTCCCTGATCTCTCAAGAATAAAAATGACAAGCCACTCATTGGGCAGTGGAAAGGTATCTGGTGGTCATAAGTAGGCTAGAGCACATTCCCAGCAATGACATGTGCTAGAAATGGCCCACACCAATGGTGAGGACAAGAGGGCAGACCAGTCATGGAGTAAGGAAGAGAGATACCAAGTGACCAGCCCAAATGCAACCCTGGTACACTCAGGATATTGAAACACCCAGAGAAAGGCTTCCAGCATATGGGGCAGATCCTCTGCGCATGATCTCTTGAAAGACATTTGTGAAAATTATACAAGATGAGGTGTGGAAAGATTGCAATTTATACCAGAGAGCACTCATGTCTAGAAAACCAGGAGTCCTTCAAAAAGCAACTGAGTGTTTTCATGGCCATAGCAATCCTCTAACTATCCCCACATCTTAGTATGATTAGTGGATGGGGTGGGGCGGAAGCGAGCTTGACATAGTGGAAAATATGAAAGCATGACCTAGTATATAGAAAGCCAGCCTTGGCGCCAGGAAGACTTGGGTCTTCCTGACCCATCCTGGCTATGTGACTCCAAATAAGGCATGACCTCTCTGTGCTTTGGCCAACTTTCTAAGATGAGATGTTACAGAGAACCTGCATCTGACAAGGGGTATTTCCTCAATCAGTGAAATCACAGCCCAATCTCTGTCCCTAAAGACAAGGTAGAAAGAGTCTAGAGCAGGACAAACAGTAAGGGGAAGTGCCTTGAGTTCATTCTATACAAGGGGCAGTTGGAGGACATGACAATGGTCAGTGTGGAGAAGAGAAGGCTTAGGGAGGGTGTGATAAGTGTATTTGAAGGGCTGTTGCCTTGACAGGGGATTAATTTCATCCCTGAATGCAGATCTAGGATGAATGAATGGAAGCAAAGTTGGGCTTGATATCGAGAAAATGTGTGTAAGGATTGGAGCTGTCCAAATGTTCAGGCTCAGGACATAATGGATCCCCCCCACTCAGAGGTCTTCAAGAAGAGGCTGTATGACGACTTGTCATTAACTGAGTCCTATTCAGGTATAGACTGGACTCAGTGACCTCTGAAGTACCTCCAGGATCTGAGATTCTACAAATGTTCTGTGAGCTAGCTTTGCCCACCAAGGGCCTGTTGGGAGTTGGAGGGTGGGCCAGAGTACAAGGAAGAGAAAGTGGAGACAGGGAGAGTAAGCAGAGGAGAACACTTTCTGCTGGTTGGTGGAAGCTGTTGGAGGTGGTTAAGAAAAAAATAGAAACTCAGGGAGGGGTGGAGAGGAGGGAGGGTAACAAAGGAACCCACAGAAATAAAATAAGGGGTGGCCCTTGCTCAATTTCATTCACCTTCATCTTCCTCTGTCAAACCCAGTGCCATCAAATGCAGCCTTTCCACAGGACTTCCCCTCTACCCCTCAGGAAGCACCCAGATGGAGGGCTGAGGTGTCTCCCTAGGGCTTGGAGTACTTTACATACCTGTTTCAACCACACGTTTGTGGTCATTAATTGATTCTTCTCATCCTGTACAAGGGAAATGAAAAGAAAAGAGACTATTTTCAATGAGCAGGTATGTTTTGGGTTTTTTGTTTTTTGCTAAAGTATCCCTATTCCTTTAGAAGAACCTGTATCTCTCTCCCTCCTTTCCCTCTCTTTCTATCTTCCCCTTCCTCATTCTCTTCCCTTTCTTCCTCTCCCCTCCCTCACATCTTTCCCCCTCTCCTTTCCTTTATCTACATCCCCCTCCTCCTCCCCCTATCCCTGGTTCTGTCCCTTTCTCCATCTCTCTTCATCCCCCCTCATCTCTCCCTCCTTGCCTTTCCCCTTCTCTTCCCCCTCTCCCATCCTCCAATAGCAGAATCTAGAGAGGGAAATACTGGAAGAGAAATTCAGAGTCCTTTTTACTCTGGCATCACTCACTCAGCTAAACATCTAAGTGACTTTTTATGTACTAGATCTCCTTCAACCCATAACTTTTACTAAGCACTTACTATGACAGGGCACTAGGCTAAGCACCAGGGACCCCAAAGGACTCTAAGGTTATAGTCCTGGCCCTGAAGGGGCCGTTACCAAACAATATTTGATAATGGACTAGATAGATTGTAAGCTCCTTGGGGACAGGGACTACCTTTTGCCTCTTTTGGTATAGATCCTCAGTGCTTAGCACAGTGCCTGGCACATAGAAGGTACTTAGTAAACGTTAATTCAATTGAATCATTATCAACTGTGACAGGCCTAAATCTCAAGTTCCGCCATGGTGGTTTCTCTCTTGTTTATTCCCTTAAGGCAGTAACCTAATTTGCTTCAGCCCCATTCCTTGATAAAGGAAGAGCATGAACAGAACTGGTGTGTAATTTTGGAGGACAGTAAACTCTGAAGTGATCAAACAGCCAGGGATACTTCTGCGTGGAGGGACCCGGGCGAAGGGTGGCAGGGAGAGTGTTTAAAACCTAGCTTCAGCCTTTGCCCTTGAAAGTTCCTCTGAAGTAAGTATAGAATCACACCCTTCCATTCACATTTCTCAACGTGAGCAGTGCAGTCAAGCTGCCTCACCCTGGTGGTCTGAACATGATACCACTACTGGGGATAGACCTGAATAGTGCAGGAGCCTGCCACAAGAAGAGAGGGGATGGTCAACAAAAAACTGAGAATTAGGTCAGCCCCCAAGCAAAAAAAAACAAAAAAACAAAAGCCATCAGACTCATAAGATGGAAAATGAGTAAGCAAACTGCAAAGGACCACAACACAATGAATGAAGATTATGTGGTTATGGAAAACCCCCAGTGAAAAAGGAAGTGAGACAATAGCAACATGTTTTAGGGGGCCTCCAGAAATAATAGGTCACCAGCAAGAGACCACAGAATGTTTCAGAAGAAAAGAAGAATTAAAAGAAAAAATAGGGCAGAATTTTCAGATTTTTTTTTTTTTGGCTATGGCAATGGGGTTAAGTTACTTGCCCAGGGTCTGAGGCCAGATTTGAACTCAGGTCTTCCTGATTCCATGGCCAGTGCTCTATTCACTGTGCCACCTAGCTGCCCCAGAATTTTCAGATTTTTGATGTGATGTCTGGGTCAAGTTATGGCTCCCACCACCAAAGATCTAAGGGGAGAACCAGAGGAACAGTGCATGGGACCATAGATTTAAAGCTGGGAAGGGGCCTTAGGAGTCAGGTCCAACTCCTTCATTTTACAGATAAGGAAACTGAGCCCCATAGATGTGAAGTCACTTACCCAGGGTTTCATGTTGAACATGAAGTCCCAAAAAGAAAAGACTAAAAGAACTTGATTTTTCATCTCAGACAAAAGAAGGTTTAGAAGTATTTTACTAAGCCTTCAACTAATGTTCTGATTCTCCTCATCTCTACAGGTCTCACTTCAACCCTTCAAATCCTCCCCTACCTAGGAACAGCAGAACTTTGACCCTTTCTTACTGCACCTTCCCAGTCTTCTTTGGGCTCACAGTGGCTTGCATATATATGTCTTATCTCCCCCACTAGATTGTAAGCTTCCTGCAGGCAGGGATAGGATCTTGAATTCATATGTGTATCCCCCACCACCACCACACCACCCAGTCAGTGCCTGGCATCGGACCTGCTGTTGTCAGCAGAGAAAGCAGAGAAAGACTGTTTAGAGAGGGTTGATCTTCATCAGACCTCGATTCTTTCCAATTCATAAACATTTATTAAGAGCCTACAATCCTCCCTCTCCCCATCCAAAAACACCCTACTATGTGCCAGGCTCTTGGCATTAGCAAAGATGCAGATAGGACAGTCCCTGCCTTCAAGAAGCTTACCTTCTGTTAGCAGTTGGGGACCACTGAATGTGCCACATGTACATAGAAGAGTAAACAATGTCATTTGAGGACAAAGTGTTAAGGGGATCAGGGAAAGCCTCCCAAAGGAGTGATACCTCTAACCTGAGCCTTGAAGAATAATGGCTACTCAGAGTCAAAACTAAGTGCATTGCAAAAATATGGGAGGCAGCTTGCATGGAGGTGGGGGATGGAATGCCGTGTTTGGGAAATGGCTGATACTCCAGTTTGACTGGAGTGCTTTAAGGGTAGCAGTGAGATAGTGAGGTAGGATTACAAAGGTGGTTGGGCCTTAAACACCAGGTTAAAGACTTTGTATCTTCTCCTGGAGGCAACAAGGAGCCGTGGAAGGCTTCTGGAGTAGAGGAATGGCATGCTCATACCTGTGCTGTCTTCCTCTCCATTTATTTTTCCAAGAGCTCATTTCCACTCTCAAGATTTTGAACGGTCGCCTTTATACTAAAGACCCAAGCCCTAGTCCTCTTATTTACCACTGCCTCTGGATGTTTCCTCTTGAAGGTTCCATCACCACCTCCAATTGGACGTGTCCAAGGCCTAGACCATTTACACCCTTGTACCTCTTCTAACATACCTATTTCTGCTAACATTTCCCTAGTCAACCAGGTGTGAAGCCTTGGAGCTACCTTTGACTTAACATTATCACAGAGAAAAGAACTTCAAAGATCAATTAGTCCAACCCCTTGTTTCACAGATGGGGAATCTCAGGCCCAGGGAGAAGTGACTTGTCAAAGATCACACTGCTAAAAAATGGCCAACCCAGAACTTGACCTTGGATCACATGACTCGGAGATTCAAGGCTCTCTCCACGGTACTATACAGACCCTTCTCCTACCTCCTCAGTATTCAAACCCTACTCAGTCTTATTGGTCTCGTATAAACTGGTCTTCCCAGCTCTAGTCTCTCCCTGTTCCAGTCCAGCCTGAATACTTGTCACCTTCCCCTCATTAGAACATAAGCTTCTTGAGGGCAGGGACTCCTTTCCCCTTTCTTGGCATCCTCAGCACTTAGTCCAGCGTCTGGCACATAGCTGGGCAGCTGGGTGGTGCAGTGGATAGGACACCAATCCTGAAGTCAGGAAGACTCATCTTGGTGAGGTCAAATCTGGCCTCAGACACTTACTGGCTGTGTGGCCCTGGGCAAGTCACTTTACCCTGTTTGCCTCAGTTTTCCCATCTGTAAAACGAGCTGGAGAAGGAAATGGCCAACCACTCCAGTATCTTTGCCAAGAAAACCCCAAATGGGATCACAGAGTCAAACATGACCAAAACAACTGAACAACAACAGATGTTTAATAAATGTTCACTGACCAGCTTCCTACTAGGCATCTGCTGATTTCGCCCAGCCAGCGTTTCTACTGTCCCCCCAGCACCCGACATGTGCTTCAGTTCCCTTTGCTTACAGTATTCTTCCTCCTTTTCTTATGTGGCCTAAATTCTCTGTGTCCTTCAAGGCTCTGCTCAAATGCCACGTCCTCCATGAAGACTTCCCTGACAAATACCACTCACCGATCTTTCCCAACTCTGCATTTCCACATGAGGCCACACAGAATTGTGGATAGAGAACTAGACCTGGATTCAGCTCCCTGCTCTAGCACTCACCAGCCACGTGAACCTAGGCAAGTTACTTAACTGCTCCCTGACTCAGTTTCCTCATCTGTGAAATGGGAATAAATAGCACCTGCTTCCTAGGGTTGGCGTGATGACCACATGAGGTGATACCTGTAAATGCTGTTTCTCTTTCACGTATATGCATGCTGGGTCTCCCTAAGCAGATAACAAGCTTCTTTGGGGTAGACACTGCATAACACCTTTGGTACCCACTCACCCCACCCCTACCTTATCGACAGCGCTAGCCATGCAATAAACACATGCTGATTGAGGGGCTTAAAGTCAGAACAACAAAAAAACTTCTCTGAAAAGGGAACACGAGAAAATTAGGTTATAAGGAAGAATTTCCAGGCAAGAAGAGACTCACACTAGAATGCGTTATTTATCAAGGCAGATTGAAGGATCTTCCCTGGGGGAAATTCAACATAAATTCTCACCTTTCTGTGCCGATAGAAGGGTGATATTGTTTGAAAGGGTGTCTCTATCTATTTAAAAAAAACTATTTAGTGATTCTGAGTTTAGCAAGAGTTTTACTAGACCAAAGGAGGGAATTCTCCGAACAAAGTGGCTTGGGGAAGGGGAGGGAGGGGGGTGTTTTCTGTGTTTAATACCCCAGTAAAAAAATCATTCTCTAGGTTTTGTCTACGACACAACAGCATGACGTAGTAGGTGCAGCATGAGCATTAAAGTCAGGAAAACCTGGGTTAGAATCCTGCTTCCAATATGAGCTATGTGACCATGGAAAGTCGCTTAACCTGTGAGTCTTATTTTTATCCTCTATAAAACGGGGTTAAAAACACCTGTAAGATAGACCACAAAGGATTATTATGAGGTTCAACTGAGAAAATATCTACAAAGATCTCTACAAATGTTGGCTGTTATTGGTATTACATATGCAAGTACCTGTTTGCATATAATCATCCTCATCATGTAAGAAGCCAGCATAGTATAGAGGGCTAGAGACTTAGCTCCACTCCTTAGCCAAAACTGTTCAAACTCTCATTCCCATTTTACAGATGGGAAGACTGAGGTTCTAACAATATACTATCTTCCTCTCACAAGGTCACCCTGGGATAATGTTCATACAGCACTTTGTAACCATAAAATATCTTAGGAATGTTCATTATTATCATAATCTTCACATACACATACCACATCTACTAACTGAGAGATTGCAAGGCCAAACTTTATTTTTATTTTGTCATTCAGGTGTTTCACAGGACGAACCCATTTTTCATAGTCTCGAAACAAGTTCTTAAACAAACGATCTTCACATTTTGCCTCAAAGGATGGTTCCGATATCCCTGAAATAACAAAGGCAAAGAAATCAGCATATGACATCCTGACTTACTTCTCCCTTCTGTGTACTCACCCCTGAGAAAAGTTTGCAGCATTATTAACCAAAATGGAACTTAGGGTGAGAGATGCTGTAGCATCGTGGATAGAGAGCCAAGAAATCAGCAGGACTTAGGTTCAAATCCTACCCCTAACCCATAGTGGGTGTGTGACCCCGGCCAAGAAACCTAACCACTAAGCTACCTCAGGCCACTCTCTAAAACTCCATGTAAGTAGCTGATTATCTGCATGGAGAATGCAGATTACTGTTTCAGGAGTTTGCTATACCAATGGAGTCATAGGTCCCAACTATAACCAAAAACTTAGGATATTAATCAATATACACACACACACACACACACACACACACACACACACACACACACACATACATATACACACACATATATATTTTAAAGAAGCTATTTTAAAAGTACAGAAACAAAGATTGGGGGGGGAACAGAAATAATTTCTTTAACATCATAATGTTTACAAAGGACAAAGGCCTCAAAACCAACTTGTGAGGTAGCTTGGGCATATATTATCATTATCATCTTACCCATCAGGAAATAGACCAAGAGACTTGTCCATAGTCACACAGCTGGTAAGTGCCCCAAGCTGGGATTCGAACCAAGGCCTCTTGACTCCAAATCCTGCATTCTTTTCTCTATATCATGCAGCTAGTTAGATGGTGGGTTTGGGGTTTTTTTTTTTTTGGGGGAGGAAAGAGGTGGTGGTATAAAAGTTTATTAAGTTCATAATTTTTAAAAAGTAATTCAGGATGGAGGAAAGGATTTAATGAAAAGAGCCTTGAACTCAATATTCATTTTCAAGCCCTGGAAAATAACCAAAGCTGGAATGAAAACAGGCCCAGTGTGTAATTTTCAATAAATTCAGCTTTGCTGAATAGCTCCAGAAATTAAGAGCTGGCTTTCCCAATTTTCTCCTTAGCACTGTATCTTCCATCCCGTTGGGAAGTCAAGTTGATTATGCATACTATCACTGCTGCCAAAGCCACAATGTGTTGGACATCTGCCAGCAGGAAGCTGGCACACACACATATCTGCCCCTAACCAGAAAGTTCCATGGGGCTGTTGTTTCAGCATTTTTTTCCTCCTGGGGAAGATGCCTCTGAAAATCTGTATCCATATTCAAAGAAGCACACTAGCACAGGTAGTATGACTTATTAATATCCTCTGATGTGGTCATGATAGATTAAGTTTGTTTGAAAAACAAACAAATGAGGCATATAATATGGCAGTCGTATCATGATCAGATGTCCCTTTGCAGTCACGCCATAGACTGGCTACAGAAAAAGCAACATCATCTTCAAAGACAGAATAAAGATGAAAAGACGACACTGTCTATAAAGACAACAGCTTTGATCTGGCTGGTTCAAACATGTTGGAAATGCTGAAAAATGGGAAATGGAAAAAGGCAAAGACATTGACCTTGATGATCACCCTTTACCACAGATGTTTAACTGATAGAAAGCAGATAGTATACTGGGCTAACAGAGCCCAGATATTCCAGTGAACAAACACCTCGTCCCCTTGCTAAACAGAGGGGCAGGACAGCTAATAGCAGCACTGGTTTAGAACAGAAATTCATGCTCAACAGGATCACCCCATGAAACAGTGAACAACAGGGGATGTAAAAATAAGTTTGTGTAAAACTCAGTGTGAGACCCAGATAAGCTATATATGAGAACTAGACTTGTGATTTCATTGGCATGGGGGCTCCTCTATCAATGCGGATTAGAACTTTTTCTTCAATTTATAATCTTAGGAATTTGCCTGTGGCATTGAGTTATTAAGTGACTCGCCCAAGATCATACACATAGTCAATAGGTGTCAGAGGCAAGACTCGAATCCAGGTCTTCCGGACTCTAAGGCCAGCTTTCTATCTACTATTCCCCAGTGCATCTCATCACGTCAAGGGCATTCATCAATGAAGTAGATCAATAAATAGATGAATAATATTTCGATAATCCTCTATTTTCCTCAACAATGACAGTGGAACCAGCCCTCAGACTACAGTTTGGGGCCATCTGGGTTTTGCCATAGGGCACTGATGTTCAGGGGACACAGCTCCTTCCCTCAGTGGTCTCACAGGCACATCTATCCCCAGGCTTCTCTGCTCCTTGGCACAGCCCTCACTACAGAATCCTATGGCTATGGCTCCCCTTCCCCAGAGCCTTCCAACCCTACCACCTCCACAAAGGCTTAAACAAGCTTCCCTGGAGGACAGGCCATCTTTTTCCTGATATACCTGTACTTAGATGTGGATTGTCCTCTATGGCACCAATGTGGCTGCCATCACTTTTCTTCTGTCCCAGGTAAAAGCATTTCTAGTTTCTAAACCTAGAAATACCTCAGGCCCCACTGTATGATATAAGGAAGCAGAAAGGCACTTAAGAAGACAGAATCACGGAGAATCGCAGAAGCAGACCAAGTGCGTATCACAGAAATCCATTCTGGAGGAGAATCAATCCTGAAAACACTGAGGGTTTGTTTTACATGGTCTCTCAAGGAGGGTAAAAAGGGTATAAGTACAGAAAACCCACCAACAATATCACTACTCAAAAAAAAAAAAGAGATGATCTAAGGGGCACCAATTACCACCAACTCATGTGACTACTTCTCATCATTGAAAAATCTTCATAAGAATGATGGCTGGAAAGAAGGAAGGAAAGAAGGAAGGAAGGAAGGAAAGAAGGAAGGAAGGAAGGAAGGAAGGAAGGAAGGAAGGAAGGAAGGAAGGAAGGAAGGAAGGAAGGAAGGAAGGAAGGAAGGAAGGAAGGAAGGAAGGAAGGAAGGAAAGGAGGAAGGAAGGAGGAAGTGAGTAAGGGAGGGAAGGAAGGAAAGGAGGAAGGGAAGGGAATGAAGGAAGGAAGGAGGGAAGAAAGGAAAAGAAGGAGGAAACAGGTATTTTTAAGTGCTTACTATGTGCCAGGCACTGTGCTAAGTGCTTTACAATTATCTTATTTTATTCTCACAACGAATATGGAAGGTAGGTGCTTTTACTATTCCCATTTTATAGATGAGGATAACTTAGCTAGAACGTGTCTCAGGCTAGATTTGAACTCAGGTCTTCCTGGCTGCAGGCCCAGGGCTCTAGCCATTGCACCACCTAGATGCTTCACAGCTCAAAGGTATCCTTGATCAAATGAGATAATACATGGAAAGTACTTTGCTAATCTTAAAGCAATAGATAAAAGTTCGTTGTTGTTGTTCAATTGTTTCAGTTGTCTCTGACTCTTTGTGACCCCATTTGGGATTTTCTTGGTAGAGTTACTGGAATGGTTCGCCATTGCCTTCTCCAGCTCGTTTTGCAGATGAGGAAACTGAGGCAAACAGGGTTAAGTGACTTGCCCAAGATCACACAGCTAGTAAGTGTCTGAAGCCAGATTTGAACTCAGCAAGATGAGTCTTCCTGACTTCAGACCTGGTGATCTATCTAATATGCCACCTAGCTGTTACCTGTTATGATTCTTGATGAAAATGGGAAATGGGAAAAGGCCAGCTTTCATAATTTTCTAAAGAAGTCCACACCTTCATAGTGATACAACTGACTGATAAGTTCAGAGAATATGGGGACACAGAGTCATAACTAGGGCAAGGCAGCTGGGGCTTTGAGAGCCCTGAAATTTAGAGAGTGCTGAAAACATATTCTGTCTTTCATCAGCCTACAATCAACTAAGATCTACCCTCATTTTATTATCTGTGTGACTTGGGACAAGTCACTCAATCTGTCTGTGACTCAGTTTCTTCATCTGTCCAAAAAGAAGAGAATATACAATACGTCTTCACCTCTAAATCTATGATGCTATGACACAAAGAATAATTAGTTAAAACAGGAAGCTACCAAACAATAGGCTTATTTTCCTCCTGTTCCCCATCAGCACCCTGCAGTCCCTGCTCATGGGTTGGTATCCTATGGTCTCCCCCGTCCCAAGTAAATCTGTCTTAAAAGTGTATTTCGTGCAGTTTGCTCCAAGTGCAGAAATTGTTACTAACATCACTGCAGAATCCTTCCAGGCTCACTCTTTGCTGATTATAGAAAAGCGTTTGGCTTAGGAGAGCAGAACACAGGTTGGGCGGGGTTGATTTATGCTGGCTGTCCTAGTTGACTCCCATCCTACTACCTACAGCTGGCCTCAGCCCGTGTTGGCCTGAGGGAAACAGTTTACCTGAGCGTGCTGTTTGAGTAGCTGCCAGTCCATGGGGCTCACATCTTGATGGATTAGGGCGATATCTGCTGCTGTTATCCACTGCTCTGAGCACATCTGTCAGGATTAGGAGCTATGGGGTCCTCTGAGGAGGTACAGTGGGGAAGACTCAGTCACCAGAATACCAGCATCAGGAGGAGATTTAACAATGAGGACCACCACCACCACCGAAAACCTTACATCATGCTTTGGAAAAAAGAGTGACTTTGGAATCAAGGCATCTGGTTTCAAATCAAACCCCTGAAGCTTCCTAGAGGTATGACCCAGGGCAATTCACATTAGATGGTAAGCTCCTTGAGGGCAGGGATTGTCTTTTGCCTCTTTTTGTATCCTAGCCCTTAACACAATAACATAGTAGGTTCTTAATAAATGTTTATTAAGAGACTGAACTTTTCTGAGCCTCCATTCCCTTATCTGTAAAGGGGAAAACAACACTTGTGTTACCTGTCTCACAGCAGCATTGTGAGAAAGAATTCTGTAAGCTATAAAAATGTTAGAAAACCCAGTTATTATCATCACTATTATTAAAGGAAGGGATGCAGAGATAGAATGGCATATAGCTAGGACTCTGGACTTGGAGTCAGGAAGGCCCGGGTTCTAATCCCACTTCAGACGCTTTCCTCCCAGCTGTGTGATCCTGGACAAGACATTTCACATTGATCTGAGCCTCAGTTTCCACATCTTAAAATAGGGATAATAACAGTACCTAACCCCCAAGGTTATGAGGATCAAATGAGA